AAATATGAAGCTTTCACATTTCTTTCAAACATGTCCCGCCGATTTAAAGGGGTTTAAAAGCATACAGCTTCAAGTTCTTTCATAGAAGAGTTGTTAAAGGTATCCTTTTCACAGAAGAGATTTTTAAGTTTTCAAAATACCATAAAGCGGCCGGCCGTACCGTTACATGGGCGCTGTACCTAACCTACATAGACAATTATCTGCTACTGGGATTGACATTTATTACTAGTTTCAAATACTAAATTTGAAATAATTTCGTTGAAAAATGTAGCTGAAATCATTAAAATAGCGAATATTGCGAGGTACTGCCATATGGGATCTATACCACAACCTTAGGCCTATTACAAACTTTCTATGCAAATTTTTTGTCCGCTGGTAGCACAAATTGTCGACTTACAGCACATTTGGTTAAAAAATGTTGATGGCCTTGGAGTATAAAGGACTCCAAAGACCAACCGATAACGCCAATTGTAAATTTTCAGCTAATTTGGTTGGAAATTTTGACAGAAATCTTCAAAGTACTGAAAATCGTTAGGTGCCGTTATATTGGGGCAATACGTATAAGTGGACCAGTAGCGAATATTTTTTTGCAAGGACAGAACAGACCTACCGAGAACGCTAGTTGTCAAGTTTCAGCCAAATTCGTTGGAAATTGTGATAGAAACTAATAAAATATCGAAAATCAGTTATATGTGGACTAAACGTAGACCATTTTAAATGCCACAAAGCCTGCATATAATAAAAATTATGTGAACGTTATGGTGACATCGCCCGTTTGTCTGTTGGAATCACTATCGCCTTTAAATTTTATTCTGATCAAAAATATATTTTTTTTTCGAATTTTTCGAGTGTCGCAAACGGAATGACAGATTTAATAAAATGAGACATAAATTCAGAAAAATTCATGAAATTCTTATTTGATGTTTCCGGAAAAAATTGTTCAATGCCTCAAATGAAGCGGACTCGTCAGCATTGATATGAACTTTAGCATAGACCACAAAAAATGCTAAAGACGTTAAATCACACGATCTTTTCAGTTAATTGACAGGTTCAAGCGTGAAATAAAAAGTTCGATCTCGCCTCTCAATATACCTATTTTACGCGTACTGTATGGCACGTGGTATGGTTTTGTTGAAACCAGTATTTATGAATTTTGGGTAAAAAAAAACTTGTCTGTCATCTCACGGTGGCGCTCAATATTCACAGATACGTTACGAATTAACGATGTATGGTCCAATAATGCGTGGATACATTGGTAGCTTTTGCAATACTTCCGGCTGATATTCACTCAAAAATCATCGACAATTTTGCTTATTTAAAAAAAAAAAACAAGTAAAATAGTAAAAGTCGGTTTTGCCCAGCCATGAGTTATGAACGTGACAGATTTGGACTATATCGACTACTTCTTGTACTTTATATGAGATAGGTGCACATTTTCGGAAATATGCGTCAGGTAACAGATATAGCGGACCGAAGTATTCCATTTTCATACTTCATCTAATACAGATAAAATATATAAGTATGTTCAAAATTTGAAGGAAATTGAACATTCGTATCCAATTTTATGCGAAATCATAAATTCCTACAAATTACATATTCATATCAGAATACTGGTTAAGAGAAATATTTAGATATAGCAAGTTGTTTCGCAAGTTATGACAATTATAAGTTGGCAGATCTTGTGTTGATGAAAATATTGAGAAGCTCCAAGTCTGGATAGAATCGGATGTTAATTTTGCGTTTTTGAGCTTCGTGGATACTCAAAATTTTGATCCTTTGTGGGGGAGGTACCAGAAGGAGTGGACCGATATATTCCATCTTCACACCAGATCTTGAGTTAGTAGAAATAATGGGACGTGTGTAATATGAAGAGAACCGGATGTTTATTTCGGATTCTTTCCTCGTTTTGATTATTCAAAACTGTCATCCTTTGTGTGGGAGGTACCAGAACGAATGGTCCGATTTCTACCATCTTTATAAAAGATCTTGCGTTTATAAAATATTGAGACGTGCTAATTCTGAATGGAATCGGATCTTAATTTAGTGTTTTAAGAGCTTGATGGATATTTAAAATTTCGACCTGTTGTGGGGGAGGTACTTGATGGAGTGAACCGATATTATCCATTTTTGCACCTGATCTAGAACTGACTGATATTTACTATCAGGATTTGCAAAGTTGGAACAAAGTCGGATAATCGATTCTCTTTCTGTGCAGAAAATATATATTTTTTTGAAAATCTCGATCATTTGTGTGGGAGGTACCAGAAGGAGTGGACCGATATATTCAATCTTAACACCAGACCTTGGAAGACAATCGGACTCTTACATCAATTGTATGAGAGTGTTAATTATTGAAAATATTGACCCTTTGTGGGGGAGGTACCAGAAGGAGTGGACCGATCTTGTCCATTTTCACTTAACCTAATACTGACGCAAATATTAAGATTTGCAAAGTTTGAGCAAAATCGGATTATCGTTTCTCTTTCTGTGCAAAAAATATATATTTTTTTCAAATTTCGACCATTTGTGGGTGAGGTACCAGAAGGAATTGACCGATATATTCCATCTTAACATCAGACCTTGGGTTAACATAAATATTGGCATGTGTGAAATTTGAAGACAATCGGGCTCTTATATCACAGTTTATAAGAGATGTAATTATTCAAAATTTTGACCATTTGTGGGGGAGGTACTTGATAGAGAGGACCGATATTTGCAAATCTTAATATTTGCGTTAGTGCTAGGTCAAGTGTGAATAGCACTAACGCAAATATTAAGATTTGCAAAGTTGGAGCAAAATCGGATTACCGTTTCTCTTTCTGTGCAAAAACTAATTTTTTTGAAAATTTCGAACTTTTGTGGGGGAGGTACCAAAAGGAGTGGACCGATATTGCCCATCTCCGAACTCGATCTAAGTTTGACAAAAATATTACTATGTACCAAGTTTGGACCAAATCGGATACTCCCTTCAAGAGTTATCGTGCGCACAAGCCAGCCTGACAGACAGACGGACGGACGGACGGACATCGCTAGATCGACTCCAAATGTTCTGAAACGGATTTGGTCCAAAGAGACCTAGGGTCTAAAACCGTTATTTCGACTAGGCACGTTTTGGCCGTATCAAATGATATATACCCTCTGTAGCCATATGGCTGAGGGTATAAAAACAACACACCTTTTATATTGAAGTTATATATTTATGCCATGAATTGACAAAATTTGTCAACATTGGTTCAGCCATTCTTGAGATATAAGCATTCTATCTAACATCCCCCTCCTTTGTATATACACATTGTATATATTTCGCTATATATCCGATACATTTACTATCGGCATCTACGTAATGATCAGAATTGGCCTTTTCGTCTATTTGTGATTTCGCCGGGATTAAGAATATTCGTGGTGTAATGGGAAATTTGACTTTGAAATTTGACACAAATGTTATGTCCAATTTACCCACTAAATTTTACCCGGTGATCCTCCAAATTGGAAGGCTTCTGCCCAGCCCTTAGCTTTAGCCCCATGCTATAATTGCAACCTGTAGAGCAACGGCAAAATCAGGAAACTTCTCAGTTTTTGGTCCATTTCAACTAAATATTTTGCGATCATCTCCAAAAGCAATAGGCTTCTTTTCTGACCAAAACTCCACCTCCATGCAAAATTTCGTGACGATCGGGCCATACTTTCGACCTGTAGCGTGATTAAAATAGACATGGACCGACGGACATACATAGCTAGATCGACTCAGCTCGGCGAAATAGGAAGATCCACATATACTCTCCTACATGGTGTTTTAGGGTATAAAAATGGCGTAGGGTACAAAATGGGCCTCTATAAATTTAAAATTATATGAAGTATATTTTTTATAAATTACAAAAAAATGAAAGGCAGATATGCGTTACATACTATAAGTCCATAGGTGGAACAATTAATAAAGTTATTTTATAGACAGACTACATTCTTGTGAGATAAATACAATTTACTGCATTCTTTTGATATGTGACCTGGGAGTCCTTTTCTAATTTAATTCTGAAGAGGACTTTGTAGGTACGTTTCCCGTATAGTTATAATCCCTACGCATAAAATAAAATTTTTGCATTTTAAAAATTCCCATTCCTGATATAAAATAATTCATATTCAACAAGGGATTAATTTGTAGTGGGTCATCTGTGCCTTAAATGATTGTCTGAGTACGAGTTGCATATATTTACATTAACTCATGCATAAGTATGCAATTATTGAAATATAATTATCCATAAACTGTATGCAAGGTACGCGGGTGTGTGTGTGCGTGTATGTCACAATTCAATTACTATTTATTTTGCTAATTACTTCTCTTTATGTTGCATAACCGATTTAATTTGATTTAAGTGCAAGAAATTAGTTTTTGTTTGCCAACTTCCTCAAATATTATAATTAATTTCAATTAATCCCTGCTAAAAACAATACAAACTATTCATTCACATTTGCGAAATGGTTACCAAAACTATTATTTTGTTTTTTCGATTTTTGTTTGCTTATCCACTTGTTCTACATTTTTTTTTCAATTGCTCTATCTCTATAACTTCACTAAAATTATTACCATTCAGATTAACTTTTGGTTCGATAATAATAAATTATACTCCCCCTATTCGTATCGTATTGAGTATTGTTTTGTCCATAATTAGTTATAAATATAGCAATAACAAATCAGAAAACAAAATGAAAAAAAAATCGAAAAAAAAAACTTTTTTCAATTTTCTACCTTTCTATTCTATCGATATTACAACCAACTGCTCTTTGGCAATTTTCTGATATTTATTTTACTACTCTATTCGAAATGAGAGTTGAATGTATTCTTCTTGTTTGTCTCTTCTAATTATTATTATTATTTGTATCGTATACTGAACAAAATGAGAAAATTATTATTTTAAAAACTCATTATTAGTTTAATTAATAGCATTGTTGTCAAGTGCAAAATTATCAATAATTATTTTATTTTATTAACTTTGCGCATTTAGTACCTCCCCGTTGGATAGTTGAACCAAGTGATGCAAATGTGGAACGTAATCGCCATATAATGCTGCATTGCCAGGCCCAGGGTGTTCCAACGCCCAGTATCGTTTGGAAAAAGGCAACGGGTAAGTGTGCGATTTTGAGATTTATTTCCTTTTGTGAAGTATTTTATTTACATGGAAATATAAATGATTTGTTCAATAGAAAAGGAGATGGTTTAATTTTTTTTTTAAATTTTTTATTTTAAAATTGTTCTCCGAAAGTACTGAAATGGAAATCTATATCTATATATATATATAAAAATCAATTGTTGTTTGTTGGTAACGGAATCAGTTGAAAACGGCTGGACCGATTTGCATAATTTTTTGTACAAACGTTCGTCATACCCCGAGTTAGGTTTTTAAAGAAAAAATATGGACCACGCCTACTTTTACTCTCACTATCTTGATTTATCTATAATCTTTATATTTGCCAGATAATGAAGATATCGGTTTGAAAATTATTACACGAGATACTGTTGGCTTTCCCTCCAAACTTAGGAATTTATTTGGGCGCCAGGGAACTGACCACGCATACTTTTAATCTGTCTATATATATAAGGAAGTTGTGTTAGTTACTACGCTTATAACTCAAGAACCGCTTATAACTCAAGAATAGATGATGTCAAACTAATTTAACGTGGTCAAACCAAAATTGCTTAAAAAATCAAATAAGAGCATATTGGACCGCAAAAACTCTAAAATAGGGAAAAACTGAGAAAATTTTTTCAATGGAATCAAATATCAAAATAATAGTAAGGACCAAACTTCGTAATGACCTTTAAATATTGGCTGTAAAAAACCAGCGAAAAAGTTGAAGATTTTTTTCAATTTGTTTATTAGTTACTATGCTTATAACTCAAGAACGTTTTGACGAATTTTCACAATTCATACAACTTCGGAATGGAATCTTGCAAAAAAAAAAAAAAAAATGCGTAAAATATGTCAATAAAAATATAAAAGAAGAAATCCTTTTGGCGTGAAATTTTTTCAATTTAAAAACTATATAGAAGTGTACATTTTTTATTGTTTTGAATTCTGAATGAATAATATCAAAAATGAAATAGTACGCAATAAGATGTTAAATTGCGATCTTTCATGTCTGAAATTGGCATTTAGCTTTCAACTCCAGGATCTACATCGTGCTTCAGCTGGAAGATGCGAACACATTTAAATAAGCAAAAATAACCGACAAAACGTTATGGGGCTCATTCCAACACGTAGACCTACCTACTTCTATCACATGACAATAATCCGTCCAATGAGAACTCAATATGCAAAATTCATTGGGACTGCAATCAGTGAACTACCGAATATAAAGGGAAAAGGATTTATATTCTTTCAGAAATTCTTCCTAAACTTTCACGATACCTTAAATCACTTTTGCAGTGCATGATATGGGCCATAACCCCCGGATAAGGATACAACCCGATTTCAAGTATATCTTACATTTTAACCATATTTTCATACTAATTTCGGCAAATGTTGGTAATTTGGGATGCAAAAACTGATCACGTTTTGTATAACCATCATATGATTTAAGGAACCGGACATTTGTTTAATCGTCTTTGAATTATACTATGATAAAAGGTATGGAAATTATGGGGTCTCCAACGCGCAATTTCAATGACAAATAATTCATATTACTTTAAAAACAAGTAAAAAACCAGTAAAGAAAGTCCTAAAGTCGGGCGGGGCCGATTTTTACCCTACACCACTTCGCTAATTTAGTTGAGCTCCACTTAATAATTAAAAGTTTGTTCACGGATAAGTGAACATGTTTTTATAATAAAAGAGAATAGCGGGGGTACCTAGTGTAGATGAGAGGGATTTGTTAAACTGGGATCTTCTTAATACAGTCCACATTAAATAAGATAAGAAAATGTGGTGAGCAGACCTTTGAGTTAGAAATAAATAATACAGAATTTTCAATTGCTGCATGTGTTATGGTGGAGTTAGATTATGGGATGTAATCTTTACTCAGACTGATAAGCAAGTGCAGCATGTTTGCTTGCCACATGTGAGATAGCTATGCGTGTATATGACCTCCCCCTAAGGTTTATGGTGGCATGGTGCATATGCATGTGTACAGTTGGTATCTATCTCTCTATCTCTCTCTCTCATTTACACTTAACTATAAGTTAGGTTAAGTCATATTATCACAACTAGTTCTTAAGAAATTTTTTAATAAATAAATTCAGTGTCTTACAAACGCTCAAACGGAAAAGACGTTTGGTCTTTTAATTGATCCCAATTTACATTGGTCCTTCGAGCCGGATCGGTAGAGGATAAATGTTGAAGAATTTGCCTTAACATCGAGGAAATTCTGTCAGGCTAAAATTGGTCTTCAAGAGTGGAAAATTACCGAGCTAAAACTACAGCTGGAATTGTTCCCATACAGAAGAAATTTATAAGCCAAATAAAAGGATGCTGAGTCAGAAGGAAACTTCAGCACAGAAGACTGTGGTGGCGGTGCACACCGAGGGGGCCTCATATTTGAAATCTTCAGACAGAAGGGGTGATGCATATGCCCAGGAGGACGAATCGGTGAAACGGCCGCCAATGATGAAACTAAAGGAAGAGGCTGTCACTCTTCTCGAAATGATGGGTACAATTATGGAAATAATGAGTACCTTAAAGACAGAAGAAGCCATAGAAGGCGTATTTGACTTCGCCAAAGAAAAAATTATGGACGCGGCAAGAGAAGTAATATTGTATCCATGCGTTCATAGGCGGTTTTTAGAGATGCTTCTAAAGAAGTCCAAACTAGCCGCTGCTATCAGAGCAAGTCAGGCGAATGGGACAGAGAAGCTGTATTCGGAAGACGTTAAGGTCATCCTTAAAATCACGCACGCTCTTAATGTGGAGACCAAAGAGAAAGTCCTTGGCTTGAAGAAACAAGTGGCCTACATAACATCCGAATTGGACAGCGAGCGAGAGGGGCGCAAAGCAGCGGTAGCCGTAATGAGAAAAATGGAAGGTGATATTAAGGAAATGGAGTTTGCCTTGATTTCACAGAAAGATGAAAAGGAAGATGCCCTCAAACTTGTCTCCAAATTGAAGGAGGAAGTCGAAAATGCTGTGTTCGTAGCCGAGGATACTATGTACAAATTACGAGCGGCTAACCAGGAGGCAGAACGCGAGGGCAAGGCGTTGAAGGTGGTAATAAGACAACTTACGGATGAGTTGTCTTGTGCAAAAAGAGAACAACTTGCAGCTGCAACCGAACGTGACGGGTTGGCTGCAAATCTAGAAGCTGGTGAAGAAAAAGAAGAATTGCTCATATCGCAGAGAGCATCCAAAATCGAGACTGATGAATTGGCTGCAAAACTAGTGGTCAATATCAACGAAGATATGATGGTTGAAGAGGTGTATATGGAAGACTCAATTGCCGAAAAAGAATCAACATTGAAAAGTGTAGATGAACAGCTCCCTGGAAAATTCGACACAGGGAGATTGGAAGAAGTCGAAGATAAGCTGTTTGCCAGCAAGATGAAAACTAAGAAGAAAAGCAATCTGCGTCGCTGGAATAATAAGATGCTAGAAGACGGTCAAGTTGTGATGAAGATGTCTAGTGGAAGTGGTGCAGCGAATAAAATACAAGCCGGAGTGACACAAAATCATGAACACTGGAACGATAAACTGTCCAAAATCGGTAAGATGGCGCTGCCAGAGAAGGATGAGAACTTTGGTCACAGAAAGAAAACAACACATAAAATGGATTTAGCCTGGAAATTGAAGCCGGCAGACAAGGGAGGTGGAACCTTTAAGAGAGACAGGCTGGAAAGATGGAGGAGTTACTTGGGTGCTATAACTTAACTTCTTTTCTCTTAAAATATCAATTATTGTATTTTTGCCCCTGCCAAGAATGTTCACGGATAAGTGAACATGTTTTTATAATAAAAGAGAATAGCGGGGGTACCTAGTGTAGATGAGAGGGATTTGTTAAACTGGGATCTTCTTAATAGAGTCCACATTAAATAAGATAAGAAAATGTGGTGAGCAGACCTTTGAGTTAGAAATAAATAATACAGAATTTTCAATTGCTGCATGTGTTATGGTGGAGTTAGATTATGGGATGTAATCTTTACTCAGACTGATAAGCAAGTGCAGCATGTTTGCTTGCCACATGTGAGATAGCTATGCGTGTATATGACCTCCCCCTAAGGTTTATGGTGGCATGGTGCATATGCATGTGTACAGTTGGTATCTATCTCTCTATCTCTCTCTCATTTACACTTAACTATAAGTTAGGTTAAGTCATATTATCACAACTAGTTCTTAAGAAATTTTTTAATAAATAAATTCAGTGTCTTACAAACGCTCAAACGGAAAAGACGTTTGGTCTTTTAATTGATCCCAATTTACAAGTTTTTATGGGAGAATTCAATCATACACGCTATGATTATAATTATCTTTTAAATTCGGACTTGTATTGCCCATTTGGTGCGAAATTAATTTGAAATCGGATAAAAATATGTATGAACCGATCTCGATAAAATTTGGCAAAGATATTTGTGAGCTGTATTTGATATATTTTCCTGAATATCGTTGTTACGGAGTGCATATTACGGCTGTGGGTAACAAATACAATAAAGCGGATGAACAATATAAATGGGAGCTATAACTATATCTGAACCGATCTTCACCAAATTTGGCATACTACCTTCTAGACTAAATTCGGTCGTATGTGCCAAATTCCATCCATTTTGGACAAATATTACACGTTTGGTGCACAATAAATGGTAAATCGGACGAAGTTATATATGGGAGCTATATCCAAATCTGAACCGATCTCGATAAAATTTAGCAAAGATTTTTCTGAGCTGCATTTGATATATTTCCCCAAATATTGTTGTTACAGAGTGCATATTACGGCTGCGGAGGACAAAAATAACTAACTTTTGTTTTCATTATTCAAACTCTTGACTCTATGGAGTGGTTACTGGAATGGGCCAATATTGTCCATTTCATATCGGACCTAACTAAATACGATATAGATGTTGCCATGTACTAGGTTTGGTCTACATTGGTAACTTCATCATAAAATCCATATTTATCTCAAGTTTATGGTTGAGAGAAATATTTAGATATAGCAAATTGTAAAGAATCGCTGACTTTTTTCGCAAGTTATGACAGATAAAAGTATTGACAATTGTGACCCTTTGTGGGTGACATACCAGAATAGGCTCGCAGCTATATATTATCTTCACAACAGATATTGTGTTAGCAAAAATATTTGTATGTGTAAAAATTATTTTTCAAAATTTTGAACCGTATGTGGGGGAGGTACCAGAAGAAGTGGCCCGATCTCTACCATCTCTATAACAGATCTTGTGTTGATGGAAATATTGAGATGTGACAAGTCTAAATGAAATTGGATGTTAATTTCGCATTTTCTTAGATCCATGGATATTCAAAATTTTGACCCTTTGTGGGGGAGGTACTTGATGGAGTGAACCAATATTTTCCATTTTCTCACCTAACCTAGCACTGATGCAAATATTGGTATTCGCCAAGTTGGAGCAAAATCGGATCATCGTTTCTCTTTCTGAACAATAAAATATATTCATTGAAAATGTCGACATTTTGTGGTGGAGGCACCCGAAGGAGTGGTCCGATAACACCTTTCTCCGAAATCGATCTTAGTTTGACATTAATATTACGATGTACCAAGTTTGGATCGAATCGGATACTCCCTTCGAGAGTTTCCATGCTAGATGACTCCAAATTTCCCGAAAACGATTTGGGCCAAAGAGACCTAGGGTCTAAAACCGTTATTTAAATGAGGCACGTTTTGGCAGTATCAAATGATAAATACTCTCTCTAGCCATATGGCTGAGGGTGTAATGAAGTGGAATATTTCGAAGCATTATTTCTGGTACTTTACGCGCATTTCAACATTTTCCAAAATTTTGTCAATCGTAATTCCCCAATCTCTATCTGGACAGGTTTACTGAAATCCGTTCTAAAATATTTTAAAAAGAACTAAAACTGTTTTGGCCCAAACTTCTATACCTAATAGACCCTGAATCTCGCATATATGGCAGTATTGACATGAAACATCAGGTAAGGGGGAGTTTCTGGAAATTCTTACCAAAACTATACAAAAAAAGCTTAAGGTCAAAGTATATTGTAAGGGTTGAGTTATGGCGGAATTTTTGAAAATTCGTACTTAAGGGATCTGCACATTTCAAAAAAAGTCTTTGGAAAATACTTCTAAAATCATAAAAATACCGAATACGAAAACCTGGACCTGCATATACAATTTTCTGTCACAGATTGTAGTGCCCATTAGGAACTTCAAATACGAAATGTGAAATAATTTCGCTACAATCATCAAAATACCGAACACCTGGAAGTACAATTATATGGGGGGTATACCAAAACTTGAAACTATATATCCCATTTTCAATACCAGAAGTCATCAGCTAACACCCATCTGAGTAAAATTGTGTCAACCTACTTTATTTCGTTCGGAGGCTAGAGTGATTTCCTAAGACGGACTGATGGACGGACATCGCGAAATCGACATGGGGTTTGATGCTGATCAAGAATATACAGGGTGAGATGAAAAACATGCAACCAACTTCAGACTGATGTCATTTCTAAACCACTCGTCCGACAGCTCTTAAAATTATTCCTGTGACAGCTCATTATATTGTTTACAAGCGTACAAAAGCATTTTGGTGAGAATTTTCCAGAAACAAAGTAATTCGTAATGGAATTCAAGCGTGATAGTGTGATTTCTTTATATTTGGATGGAAAACTACAGGTGGCTATTGTTAGAGCACTCCAGCATTTAAATGTGAATAAATCCTTTGTGTCTCGTACCATCGCTAGTTACCGTTAGCGTAGCTCGACATCAACGAAGTGGACGGAAGAAAACAGCAACATGAGCAGAAATGTTTCGAAAAGTAAAGAAGCGACTAGATCGAAACCCGCTTCGCAGTGGCCGAAAAATGGCTCGTGAGCTGAACATATCGCAATATTCCATACGGCAAATATTGAAAAATTAGCTCGGGGGTAAAGCCATTGAAATTCCAAAAAGTGAAACAATTTACACCGCAACAGAAAGAAAATAAACTCAAAAGAGCTAAAGAGTTGCTTCACTTGGCCTAAAGTGGTGAACTGCCGAATATGGCTTTCTCCGTCTCCGATGAGAAAACATTCGTTGTCCAGGAGTTTGTAAACAAACAAAATGATCGTGTTTCCTTGCCAAAGAGGTCAGCTGAAAATGTGCACCTTCGGTTGGCCACCAGAACTCAAGCGCCGGCCATGGTGATTGTGTGGGCCACCGTAACCGCCGATGATCGCTTTCCGCTCGTTTTAATCGACCGTGGCATCAGAATAAATGTCGAATATTATCGCGAAAATATTGCAAACACGCAAACATTTTGACCGCAGACCTTGGACATTCTAACACCAATCAGCACGAACGGTTAAAAAATGAGGTTCCTCGCTTCATTTCCAGCGCACAATGGCCACCAAAAACTCCGGATACCAATCCGTTGGACTATTGTGTCTGGAGTATTTTGGAAAGCAAGGTTGGCACTAAAAAATGCCAAAGTGTCAATCACCTCAAACAAGCGCTCCGTCGGGAATGGGCCAAAATACCGCAGAGCAACATTCGGGCAGCGTGTGACGGTTTCATTGGCCATTTGAAGGCCATAATTCGTGCCAAAGGTGACCAATTCGTAGAAATCTAAACTTATTATAAAATTTGATGCTATTTCCGACATTTTTGCTTTCATTCAATAAAATTGAAAAAAACATATAAAAATTATGCCATTTGACTTTGTTGCAGTTTTGTTTTATCTCACCCTGTAGATATGAAGATACTCATCTTTTCTATCGAACATACCTTGTGAACGTACAAACATTACATTTTGGTATTTAAGGTTAATTTTTCATATTTTTTTGAAACGGAATTAAAGTTTGTGGTTTTTCTATGGCAAGATTAGATTGTTTTAATACACAATTCTTTATTAAGCCATAAACATAATGCAATCTACACACCAAACTTCACCATATTATCTGAAATTAATTGGCATAGTTTGTGGAGAAACAACACCACCTTGCTTTAATTGGTATTGATTGATTAGTTGGAAATTTCAACGAAATAATACTTAATGCCAATGTGCATATGTATGTTTGAACTTTCATTGAAAATATTCAAATGTGTTAACACGTTTTTTCCATTCAATTTTTTTTCTTTCGCAGGTAGCAAATCTGGCGAATATGAAGAGGTGCGTGAGCGGCCATTTACAAAATTACTTTCGAACGGTTCATTGCTGCTGCAACATGTCAAAGAGGATCGAGAGGGGTTTTACCTGTGTCAGGCCAATAACGGCATCGGTACTGGAATTGGCAAAGTGATACAATTAAAAGTTAATTGTAAGTGCGGTGTTATTTTTATTTCTCTCCCGCCCCCATCCGACTAACGTTGGTTGTACTCGTAATCGAACATGAACTGTAACATTTCCATCAATCAACCGACCAACCAGTCAAACGAAACCTTACACATTCCGAATAATCTCCCGCACATTAGATGCAATTCAATCATCATCATCATCGCCATCGTTCAAAGAAGAATAATTAGCTAAAGTGGAAAAGTTGGCACAAATTTACTGCGGCCACGGCTGATTGCTGTGAGTTAATGTTGTGCTACAGTAAAGGCCAAAAAACAAGTTTTTCGGAAATGTTTGCATAATTTGAAAAGGATATAAATTACAAAATACTGCACAGCTGAAAGGAAGAAAAATATATTTGATAACATGAAATACAAATAATATATTAATTTTATACAAGTTAAGACGTGGCTAAGTTCGGCCGCAACTAACATTTCGTATCAGAAAACAAAATATCAAAAAATTTATATGATCTAATAGACGTGAGAACTTTACGAAAAAGAATAGACATTTTATTTGGGGAGTCGAATGAGTTCAAACACAGGGCTGCAGACTCGAGCCATTTTTGATTGTCTTTTTTAACGATTCCTACTCAAGGAAAATCCTATACAAATATTTTTCGAGAAACTATTAGTGTTATATCTACCACCTCGTTTCTAAGTCAACATACCGACTAATCATCCAGACACAACCCTTTTGTAGTGTAAACCTGCAAATGTCCTGAAAATAAATTTCAATTGAAATACCTGGACCTATATGAATCCTCAGAACATTCATCCTAGCCAAAATAAATTTTTGAATTAATTTTCAAGGCTCCTTATTATAGACTTCTGCTAAATTTCAACAGACAGACAGATGTCGTCGTATCTACTTAGAATTTAGAAAAATTCACATTTTTCGAAAGGCTTCCGCGTCGTTCCACAAATTTAAAGCAACTTGAAAATTTTCCAAAAAATGCCGTAGAAAAATACAGCTAAAAGGAAAAGCGTTATAGGGGCTATACTAAAACGTGGTTCTGCATATACAATCCATCTTAGGTTATAGCACCCATTACGAGCTTAAAATACGAGATTTGAAACAATTCCGGTAAAAATTGTCGCTAAAATCATGAAAATATCGAATATATGGGAGGTACCATTGTATGGGAGCTTTTCGATATCGTGTGGATTTTCAGACAATTCCATTGAAAACTGTGTCTAAAACCATCGATTATCGGGAGATACTGTTCAATGGGGGATATACAATATGGTAGACCCATACAGACAATTCTCTTTCATGGGATAAAATGCTCAGAAAGAACTACTGGTGTAGAATTTCAGACAATTCCATTGAAAAATGTGGCTAAAATCATTAAAATACCGTATATTGGGGGTACCGTCATATGGGGGGCTATACGATATCGTGGACCGAAACAGCCCATCTTCGAAGGCAGGTCTACCTACAGACAAAAGACAGATCGGTGCAATATGTTCGCTCCGTATACTAATTTGGTTTGACTTTAATGTAATTACAATAGACGGACAGAGCGACGGTCAGGGCTAAATCGTCTTAGAATTTTACGCTGATCAGGCCTAAAATTATTTCGATGAGTTACAAACGGAATGCATACTATGAATGGTGGTGGGTATAAAAAAAGAGTTAGTGTCGCTAGAATCATCAAAATACCGTATATCGGGAGGTACCGTAATATGGGGGCTATACGAAGACGTGGACCTGCTCAGACAATTTCCTGTCTTAGGCTGTAGTATCCATTTCGAACTTCAACTACCAAATTTGAAACAATTCCGGTGAATAATGTCACTAAAATCATCAAGATACCGAATTTTGTGAGGTATTTCGGTGTGGGGGCTATACAAAAACGTGGACCTACATTTTCAATACCGAAAATCCTGCAGACATAATATATATTGGAGAAAATGTTATTGACTTAGGATGTAGTATTCATTACGAACTTCAAATACCAAATTTGAAACGATTCCGGTAAATAATGTCGTTAAAATCATCAAAATACCGAATATCGGGGGTACCGTTTTATGGGGGCTATACGAAGACGTGGACCTGTACAGATAATTTTCTGTCTCATGCTGAAATATCCATTACGAACTTCAAATGCCAAATTGGAAACAATTCCGGTGAATAATGTCGCTAAAATCATAAAAATACCGAATATCGGGTGGTACCGTTATATGGGGGCTATATGATAACCTACATGGCCCATTTACGAACTTAACCTGCCTACTGGCAAAATATACATGTCTGCAAAATTTTAGCCTTCTATCTCAATTTGTTCGAAAGATAGCGTGATTACAACAGACAGACAGACGGACAGACAGACAGACACACAGACAGACAGACAGACGGACATGGTTAAATCGTCTAAGAATTTTACGCTGATCAGGAATATATATACTTTGTTGGGTCTGACATGAGTATTTCGATGAGTTACAAACGGAATGACAAAATTAATATACGCTCCATAGTATGGTAGAGGGTATAATAAGAGGATGCTTATTTCGCGTTTTGTGAGCTTCATGGTTGCTCGAAATTTTGTAGGTATTTCATATGGGTGGTCCGTTGGTTGGTAGAGGTATCAGAAAGGTCGGTCCGATATATTCTTCCTTCATACCAGATCTTGCGTAGTAAAAATATTCAGATATATTAAATTTGAAGAGAATAGGATTTATGAGAGATATCAATTTTAAAAATGTTGATCCGTTGTGGGGGAGGTAAAGGAAGGATTGGTCCGATATACTTCATTTTCATACCAGAATATTGAGATGCGTGAAACTCGAGGACAATCGCACTCTTATTTCACATTTTACAAGAGTTATAATTTTTCAACATTTTGACCCATTTTAGGGGAGGTACTTGATGGAGTAAAGTGCAAAGTTTTCACAAAATTGAATGATCCTTTCCTGTTCTATTAGGTAAATTATTTTCTATGAAACTTATGAGCTTTTGTGGGGGAGGTACCGGGAAGATCGGACCGATGTTGTCCATTTCCGAACTCGATCTAAATTTGAGTATTTGGTACATCGTAATATGTTTGGATCAAATCGGGTACTCCCTTCGAGAGCTAACACGCGCGACAGGCAGACGGACGGACTCTCTGAGATCTTCTCTAAACATTATGAAACAGATTTGATTCAAAGAGACGTAAGGTTTAAAACCATTATTTCGATGAAGCATGTTTTGGACGCATCAAATGATATATACCCTCTGTAGCCATGTGATTGAAATTATAAAAATATCGCTAACATGTAAAAAAATACATGAAATTGGGGTATACCCTAAAGGGGGCTATACCAAACCCTGGACCGACATCACCCATATTTTATAGAAATGATTCTACCTAAAGACCTGTATCAAATTTAAGAGCTCTTTCTTAAAGGCTAGTGATTAAGGCTGTTATAATAGGCCCTAAAAATTTTTTGGCTTTGGAACCCAAACCCCTTTTTGTATTTTGATCTACTAACCGAATACTAACACTTCCATTTGGAATATCCCACCCTCCAAATCATAACCCGAATATTGCCACACAATTTTATTAATACTTTATTTTTCTTTAAAAGGCAACTAAATATAACTGATAAGTGTAAATTGTTAAGTTGATATAATTATTTCTGTATGTTTACCTCTTAAAATCAGGATTGAGCTCAAATTTTTGGAAGATCAATGATATTTGGAACATTATATGTTCTTTTTGATCTTGCCCACTTATCTCTTTACTTTTTATTAGAAAAATTCTTATATTCGGGGATTAAAATTTTATATTAAATAAGAGAGTGGAATCACGTACCACTTATATGGCTTTTATCTCCGTCAACGAAGAAATTTATATCCTCTTTCAAATAAACATGTAACATTGCCACGAAATGTTTGTCCACAACTGTTTTGTTTAATTAACAATTTTTAATGAAGTGCTGATTACATGACAACCAACGAATTCGCCTATAAATTGCTACACATTCCAATTTCAAATGACACAACACTCACTCACTCACCCAAAGGGAATTGCATGCCATTCATCCAGCTTAGCCAGCTGATCTCATACCCCCACACCCCCGTCGCCAACCCTATTTACTAGCATTTACAATCATTATGTCGCCTGTACTTAATTTAATGTGCCGCTGTGGCCTTTTTCGTTGTCTCTTTTTTTGTTGTTTCTTGCTCCTTTCTCGATCTCTTCCACTTTTGTTTCTGCTCTCATTCATTTATTGCGCCATTCCACCCATCAATCCGACCGAACGACCGCCTTAATGACGCTGACATGGACGCCCTTTTGCTGTTCGACCTGTTTGCCATGCTGATGCTGCTGCTTTTTGGGGGCTCAAATGAAATATGAAAAGCTTCGCCCTATTTCCAATCGACATCACGTTCGGTGACGGTGAAAAAGGGCGATACGGCCATACTGCAGTGTTCGGTAAGCGGTGACAAACCGATTAATATCGTTTGGATGCGTTCGGGCAAAAGTACACTGAATCCATCGACAAATTACAAGTACGTAAAACCTCTTTATTACTTTTGCTTTGTGTTTTTTGTTTTTTTTATGCTTTTGAATCCTTTTTTTCTGTTGTTCATTATTTCCTGTCGTTGACGTTGTTGCAGTTTTTTATTTGTTGTATTTTTGCTGTTGTTGTTATTTGGTAAAACCATGTTTAACAAGCTCCATTGGGAGTATCGCCTGTAAATGTATTGCAGTTCTGTTCGAAAAAAATTTGGTTGTAGTTGGTGATGTTTAAAATCCTGGAATTATTTTGGCAGAGAAGCGACACATTTGTTTTCAGCTTGTATTTTATTCCTTAAGATTAATAAGTTTTTTTCTGTTTTATTGTAGATTATTGCACATTAATATTAAGACGATTATTTTCTTACATTTATCAATGTTATTAAAAATTTGAATCCACAATCTTTTAACATGGAGAAACCATCGGATAACACGTATTCACGGAAATGAAAATGAAACAATAAATTTATAAAATACAATTCATATCCATCGATTAACACACAGGCTACTAGCAAGTTGCAAAAGAGAGGATGTTAAAAGTAATGTCAACAAGTAAAATAGCAGTATTTTCGGCCGGGCCGAACTTACCCTCCCCCATTTTGAATGAATTTGGAAATTAAAAAAAAAAAAAAAAAAAATAAATAAATAAATAGAAAACAAGTAAAAAGCAGTAATTTCGGCCCTTCCGAATACCCTCAACCATATGGAACGAATTTGGCAATTCTCAAAAACAATAAAATCCGTTAAACATTCTGTTAATGTAGCTGTTACATTAGGGTCTAGTCGACGACATGGACCTGCATAGAAAGCTTTTGTCATAAGCCATTACAATATTCATATGCGAAACTTAAAAAAAAATCGGTGAATAATGTAGCAAAAATCATCAAAATACCGAAAATCGAGAGGTACCCTTATATGGGGCCTATACGAAGACGTGGACCTGCACAGAAATTTTTCTGTTCTAGGCTGTAGTATCCATTACGAACTTCAAATACCAAATTTGAAACAATTCCGATGAATAATGTCGCTAAGTTCTTCAAAATACCGAATATCGGGAGGTAGCGTTATATGGGGGCTATACGAAGACGTGAAGCTGCACAGATAATTTTCAGTCATAGGTTGAAGCATCCATTACAAATTTCAAATACCAAATTTTAAATAATTCCGGTGAATAATATCGCTAATATCATCAAAATACCGAATATAGGGAGGTACCATGGGGGTTATAAAACATGGACCTGCAAAGACAATTTTCTGGCATAGGCTGTAGAATACATTACGAACTTCAAATACAAAATTCTAAATAATTCCGGTAAATAATGTTGCTAAAATCATCAAAAAACCGAATATCGGGAGGCTATACGACGACGTGGACTTGCACAGACAATTTTCTGTCGTAGGTTGTAGCATACACTACAAATTTCAAATATCAATTTGAACCAAATCAGGTGAAAAATATCGCTAAAGTCATCTAAATTCCGAAAATCAGGAGCTACCGTTCTATGGGGGCTATACGAAGACGTGGACATGCACAGATAATTTTCAGTCATAGGCTGTAGCATCCATTACGAACTTCAAATACCAAATTTGAAACAATTCCGGTGAATAATATCGCTAAAATCATAAAAATACCGAATATCGGGAGGTACCGTTATATTGGAGCTATACCAAAACGTGGACCTATATGACCCAGTTTCAATACCGGCTGTATTTGTGGGGTCTAAAATGTATATTTCGAGGTGTTACAAACGGAATAATAAACGTAATATACCCTCCATACTATGGTGGAGGGTATAATATAGAAAGAAAGAAATCCAATTAAAAATTATGTTAAAATTTTAAAAATACCGAATATAGCCGGGTCTATAAGCCATTACAATATTCAAATAGGAAACATGAAAACAAAAAATCCGAAGAAAAATGTAGCTGAAGTCATCAAAATACCAAATATAAGGAGGTACCTTTATATCAGACTAATTTCAAACAATTTCGGTGAATATTACACATAAAATCGTCAAAATACGGAATATAGGGAGGTACCATTATATGGACCTACATACGAATTTTTTTCACAGGCTGTAGTACCAATTACGAACTTTAAATGCGAAATTTGTTACAATTCCGCTGAATAATGTCGCACAAATCATAAAAATACCAAGTATTGGGATGTATCATCATATGAGGGGCTATACGAAGACGTGGACTTGCACTAAAGGTACTAATATTATCGCGAAAATATTCTGGAGGGTATATTAAAGCCTAGGGCACGCAAACATTTTGGCCTCAGACCTTGGACATTCCAACAGGACTCAGCACCATCGCACTCAGCACGCGCCATTCAAGAATGGTAACAAAATGAGGTTCATCGTTTCATTTCCAGCGCACAATGGTCACCAAAATCTCCGGATACGAATCCGTTGGACTCTTTCTGGAGTATTTTGGAAAGCAAGGCTGGCACTAAAAAATACCAAAGTGTCGATAACCTCATGCAAGCGCTTCGCCGGGAATGGGACAAAATACCGCAGACGGTTTCATTGGCCGTTTGAAGGCCATAATTCGTGCCAAAAGTGACAAATTCGATCAAATCTAAACTTATTCTAAAATTTGAGGCTATTTTCGATATTATTTGCTTTCATTCAATAAAATTAAAAAATAAAATGTAGAACTAATGACATTTGATTTTTTGCCGTTTTTTATCTCTCTTTTATGTAAAGAGGTGTAGAGTATCATAAAGTCGGTCCCGCCGACTTTTAGCCTTTCTTTACTTGTTTTTTTTTTCTGATTTGACGTTTATTGTGCACCAAATGATTAATATCAGCCCAAATAGAGTGGATTTTAAACAAGTAAAAAAACTGTAAGTTTTTTTCAAAAAAAAAATCTGTTAAAATCTTAAAAATGCCGAATGGCTATAAGACGACGTGGACCTGCATAGTCAACTTTTGTCATAAGTTATTACAATATTTAAATGCGAAACTTGAAGAAAAATCTGTTTAAAATATAGCTAAAATCATCAAAATACTGAATATAGGGGGTACCGTTATATGGGGGCCATACGATGACGTGGACCTGCACAGACAATTTTCTGGGATGGGCTGAAGTATCCATTACGAACTTCACATGCGAAATTTAAAACAATCCCGGTAAATAATGCCGCTAAAATCATCAAAATACCGAATATCGGGGGTACGGTATATGGTGGCTATACGAAGGCGGGGACCTACATGGCCCATTTTCTGTTTTATGCTGCAGTATGTATTACGAACTTCAAGCACCAAATTTGGAACGATTCCGTTAAATAATGTCGCTAAAATTATCAAAATACCGAATATCGGGGGGTACCGTTATATGGGGGCTATACCAAGACGTGGACCTACATTGCCCATTTTCTTTCTTAAGCTGCAGTATGTATTACGAACTTCAAACACCAAATTTGGAACGATTCCTTTAAATAATGTCGCTAAAATCATCAAAATACCGAATATCGGGGGGTACCGTTATATGGGGGCTATACGAAGACGTGAACCTACATGGCCCATTTTCTTTTTTATGCTGCAGTATGTATTACGAACTTCAAACACCAAATTTGGAACGATTCCTTTAAATAATGTCGCTAAAATCATCAAAATACCGAATAACGGGAGGTACCGTTATATGGGGGCTACATGAAAACGTGGACCTATACATATAATGTTACCCCACTGGAGCTAGAATCCATTACGACTTACAGAGGTCAATTTTTAGACAAATCCGTGGAAAAATGTGGCAAAAATAATCAAAATACCGAATATCGGGAGGTACCGTTATATGGGGGCTATACCAAAACGTGGACCGATATATCCCATTTCCAATACCAACCATCCTAGGGACAATACACACACTTGTGCCAAATTTCAAAGGTCTACGTCAAATAATGTGGGCTCTATCGTGATTTCAACAGACAGACAGACGGACAGACAGACAGACAGACGGACATCGCTAAATCGTCTTAGAATTTTATGCTGATTATGAATATATATACTTTATGGGGTCTACGACGAATATTTAGAGGTGTTACAAACGGAATGACAAAGTTAATGTACCCTCCTACCCATGGTGGAGGGTATAATAATACGACCGAATTCAGGCTAGAAGCAAATGCTTCAAAGTTTGTGGAAATCGGGTAAGATAGCTTCTAGCTTTGATGAAGAATAGATTTTTCGTTGACTTTGTGGGCTTTGTAGGAGTATTTGCCTATACTCATGTCAAGTACGGTTTTAACTCTAAAATGCGTTTTTGATACAAGTGAGTTCCTATAGTTTGGGTAAGATTTAGACTTTTGATGTCTTCTGTGATCTGTAGTAAATTTTTATGACAAATATATTCTCCTTAAAAGGAGTTTTTAACAATTATTTGAAAAATTGACCAAAAGATCGCTGGTCTGAGAATTAAATTGTCTGACCAAAGTAATCGCCATGTTGTTATTCATAATATTGCCGACGACATTTTATACCTAACATATAAGGGTTCCATTGAATCTTAATCCGAAAATTTAAAAAACTGTTGAATAGGGGGATCTTGGACTTGACCCCTGTATTTCGCTTATTTCGTGATACTTCTAATTTTTGCTGTAGTTTCATAATCTCTTGGATGTTTTCCATAAATATTTTTTCTGTTGCATAGTGTAATTTACTGTGATTATTTTTTGTGTTGAACAGTAATGTTTTACTTTTCTAAGTTAACTCCCGCTTTTAAACGTATCTTCTCCTAGGATTTCAGTTAAACAGGAAGCCACGCCAGATGGTGTTTCAGCTGAGTTACAAATACGTTTGGTCGATGCTACCGATAGTGGTCCGTACTTTTGCCGTGCCAGCAATTTGTATGGCAACGATCAGCAATTGGTGCAGTTAATGGTGCAGGAACCACCACAACCACCATCAGTGCTGGAGGCAGCAATGATTTCTAGTCGATCGGTAAATTTGAAATGGCAGCCCAAGGTTCAAAATTCAGGCGATGTCACCAAATACATTGTGGAATACAAGGAGATGGATGGTAAGATGAGATTTTAATTTAATTTGTAATCCCCAAGAAATGAACTATAATTTATCCTATTTTCAGCAGCCACATTCATGGATCAATGGCAGCACACGGAGGTCAAGGATCCACCTAGTTTTAATGCCCTGATTGAAAATCTCAAACCGGCAACTCGTTATGCCTTTCGTGTCATAGCTGAGGGAACGGCTGGACGTAGTGCCCCAAGTCAGGAGTTAATAATACGTACCGAACCCCAAAGACCAGCGGGGCCACCACTTAATTTGTCTGTACGTCCCTTGTCTTCGACGGAATTGCTTGTTAGCTGGATTGCTCCTCTGGCCGAGCTGAGGCATGGCGACATTCAGGGCTATAATGTGGGCTATAAATTGGCCAGTTCCGGTACTACGGCATACAATTTTACCTCTGTGTCTGGAGATGGCGATGGTGGTACGGGGGAGCTACTTTTGACTGGTTTGCAAAAATTTGCCCGCTACAATGTTGTGGTGCAGGCATTCAATCAAGTTGGTCCGGGGCCACTATCCGAACCAGCTTCGGCACAAACTATGGAAGATGGTATGTGTCAGCCATAAAAATGAATTTAATTTAATTCCGTAAATAACGTCCATTATTTAAATTTGTCTCATTATTTGTTTTCTATTTTTAGTACCCAGTCGTGCCCCCGAAGATATACGCTGTGCTGCCCTTACATCCCAATCCCTGCAAGTGTCCTGGCAACCACCAGCCATTCACCACACCAATGGCATTCTACAGGGCTACAAATTGATTTTCGAACCCATTCTAGATGACTATTCTCCTAACAAAGATGAAGTCGAATCCCGCAAGACAACAGCACTGACAACGGTGCTAACGGGATTGCGCAAGTTTACCAACTACAGCATTCAGGTGCTGGCCCATACACGCATGGGCGATGGCGTCCTCTCAAATTCCATTTACTGTCACACCGAAGAAGATGCCCCCGAGGCACCGGCCGACATTAAAGTGGTTGTCAGTTCCCCTCAATCTCTCTATGTATCCTGGCTTCCACCCACCGAACCGAATGGTGTCATTACCAAATATAACCTCTACACAAGGGTTGTTAACGGCCGCGAAGAGTTAAACAATGAAAAACGTAGTCTTCCATCCCAGCAGTCCTACTATGAGGCGAAAAATTTACATCCCCACATGGAATATCAATTTTGGGTCACAGCATCCACACGTGTCGGAGAGGGTAAAAGTTCCAAGGTTTCCTCACAGATCACAACGAATCGTGTGCCAGCACGTATTGTCTCATTTGGTGGACCAATTGTGAGGCCATGGCGTTCCACGGTGACACTGGCCTGCACAGCAGTGGGCAAACCAAAACGAGAGTGGTTTAAGACTGATGTTCCCCTGAGGCAGGGGGGTTTACACAATACCCAACTGCTGGATTCGGGAGATTTGATTATATCCAATTTACAAGTTTCGGATAGTGGCAACTATAGCTGTCAGGTTGACAATGGCATTGGCACCGATCGCCTAACTCATATGCTTTTGGTACAAGTTCCCCCCTCTGCGCCTGTCCTATATGTGACAAGTGCAACGACCAGCAGTATTCTCATGCATTGGAAGTGTGGATTCACCGGCAATGCTCCCATTACCGGCTACACGCTCTATTATCGACGAACACCGGGAAATATTGAAGAGAAACAGTTATCACGCCATGCCTCCAGTCACGAATTGAAGGGCTTAGTTTGTGGCAGTACATATCAGATACATTTAACCGCCACCAACAAGGTGGGAACATCGCCGGCCAGTATTACACTACACGTTCGAACTCAGGGTCAATCTCCGGGAGTGCCTTCAACGACAACCCTGATTGCTCCCAACTCGACGTCGGTTAGCATACGTTTACACACATGGCCAGATAATGGTTGTCCCATATTATATTTCGTATTGCAATATCGTCCCGTGACTGATGCACCCGAAAAGGATTGGATACTGGGTAAGTTGATGCACTAATAAGGAATCTAGTCCTGAGAGGAGAAAAAAATATTATTTTATGTATCAGATTTTATTTGGACTTGATGGCTCGATTGTGAGTTAAAATTTTCGTTACTTTGCAATGTATAAACGGCCACACATGTGTTTTTAAGATCAACTTTCACAATCTGCAGAATTTTCCCTGCAAGATTTTGTCATATGGTCCTTGGAAAAAAGTGCTGAAACCCACGTAACTATGTCAAATGTTTCTTGGAATATATAAATTTGTATACCCTCAGCCATATGGCTAGAGAAGGTATATAGGGCTAGAGAGGGTATATAGGGCTAGAGAGGGTATATAATTTGTTACGGCCAAAACGTGCCTCATTAAAATAACGATTTTAGACCCTAGGTCTCTTTACACCAAATCCGTTTCAGGACATTTGGAGTCGATCTGGCGACGTCCGTCCTTCCGTCTGGCTTGACTTTCAGATTTAGTTCAACTTGGTTATTATCCAATTTAGATCGAACTCGGAAATTGGCAATATCGGTCCACTTCTTCTGGTATCTCACCCCCACCAAAAGATCAAAATTTTCAAAAAATTGGTTTACTGCACAGAAAGAGAAAGGATAGTCCAATTTCACTTTGCAAATCCTAATATTTGCATCAGTGCCAGGTCAAGTGCGAAAATGGACAATATCGGTCCACTCCATCAAATACCTCAGCCACAAAGGGTCAAAATTTTGAATAACTATAACTAATATAAAATGTGATGTATGTATGTGTCCGATTGCCTCCAACTTACACAGATCACAATATTTTTTATTAACCCAAGGTCTGGTGTGAAGATGGAATATATCGACATACTTCTTTTGGTACCTCCCCCACAAAGGGTCGAAATTTTGAATATCCATGAAGCTCATAAAACGCCAAATTAATATCCGATTACATGCAGACTTGACACATTTCAATATTTCTATCAACACAAGATCTGTTATAAATATGGTAGAGATTGGACTATTCCTCCTGGTACCTCCCCACCATAACGGGCAAAAATTTTGAATAACCATGAAGCTCATAAAACGCGAAACGAGCATCCAATTATTTGCAAATACGGCACATCCCAATATTGTTCTCAACAAAATATTAGTGGTGAAGATGGGAGATGTCGGACCACACCTTCCGGTACCTTTCCCACAACGGGCCGAAATTTTGAATATTTATTACTCTTATAAAATGCGAAATATACATGTGATTCTCTTCAAATTTCGCATATTCCAATATTTTTACTAAAAGATCTGGTGTGAAGATGACCTACCTCTTCTAGTACCTCTTCCATAAAGAGTCACAATTTTCAATATTTATGTCTCTGTTGTTGTTTTTTTTTTATTGTTGACCTGTATATTGATTCTTATTAACTTTATTTTGGCTTAAGGTCAATTGAAAAACATCAGTGTTTTCTTTTTATAATTTTGATTTTTATTTTCCGATATTTCGACTGTCTTCGACAGTCATCTTCAGGGAAAAATATTTTTATTCAGAAAAGCAACAGTCTTGTTTCACCGTCTATGCTAAACTCTCATAACTTGCGAAACTATTCGGCTGTTATTTTTACATAGTTTTTAACAAGAGATATGGAATTTATCGGCTCACACCTCCTCGTACCTCACCCACATAAGGTTAAAATTATAATTAAAAATTATTCCAAAAAGAGAAATTGGAAATAGAGGTTAATTATTATTATTATTTTTTTTTTAAAATTTCCAATATTTTGATCAATTTTAGATGATATGGAATACTTTGATCCTGTATATCTGGGATCTCATAAACTGTCATATCTGTCGGCAAAACCGAGTGATACTTTTAACTTGTTTTTTTTAATCAACGTATTTTTGTCTAATGGTCTTTCGAAAAATATTCCAAAAAGAAAATCGAGGTTCATTGGTCAAAGCGTCCTTGGCAAAAATTTAAAAGAGTGCTAGTCATTTAAGAGGCTCTAAATGTTATACAAATGTTGATAATCGGATCAGATTTAGATATAGCTCCCATATATCTTCAACCGATTTCGGGTAAATTGCGCACCTAGTGGCCAATATAAGTTCAAATGAGCAGTATTTTGGTACATCCCACCGAATTCAGTCTAGAAGCAAGTAAATCAAACTTGTGGAAAATCGGTTCAGACATAGCTATAGCTCCCATATATATGTTTCATCCGATTTGGGTTTTTAAGTCCCTCATATGCTTAATATGCACTCCAGATAATGATATTTGGTATCGGAAATCAGAACTACCTCTGTCAAATTTGATCGAGATCGGTTCAGATTAGAATATAGCTCCCATATAAATCATTATCTTTATCCGATATCAGGTGTATGGTGCACCAAATGGCTAAAATCTGGTCAAATGGGCCGAATTTACGCAATTACGACTAAATTCATTCTATTTTTCAAATTTGCTGTAAATCGGCTCAGATATAGCTATAGCTCCCATACATATACTTTATCCGATTTGTGGTTTAAAGTCCCTCACAAGCGTAATATGCATTCGACAACAACGATCTTTGGTACCAAATATCAGATACATCTCCGAAATAAATATATCAAATTTTGTTTTCAAGTTCGGTTGAGATTTGGATATATATATATATATATATCTATATATATATATATATATATATATACATATATATATATATATATATATATATATATATATATATATATATATATATATATATATATATATATGCATATTACGCTTGTGAGGGACTTTAAACCACAAATCGGATAAAGTATATGTATGGGAGCTATAGCTATATCTGAGCCGATTTACAGCAAATTTGAAAAATAGAATGAATTTAGTCGTAATTGCGTAAATTCGGCCCATTTGACCAGATTTTAGCCATTTGGTGCACCATACACCTGATATCGGCCCATTTGACCAGATTTTAGCCATTTGGTGCACCATACACCTGATATCGGATAAAGATAATGATTTATATGGGAGCTATATTCTAATCTGAACCGATCTCGATCAAATTTGACAGAGGTAGTTCTGATTTCCGATACCAAATATCATTACCTGGAGTGCATATTAAGCATATGAGGGACTTAAAAACCCAAATCGGATGAAACATATATATGGGAGCTATAGCTATGTCTGAACCGATTTTCCACAAGTTTGATTTACTTGCTTCTAGACTGAATTCGGTGGGATGTACCAAAATACTGCTCATTTGAACTTATATTGGCCACTAGGTGCGCAATTTACCCGAAATCGGTTGAAGATATATGGGAGCTATATCTAAATCTGATCCGATTATCAACATTTGTATAACATTTAGAGCCTCTTAAATGACTAGCACTCTTTTAAATTTTTGCCAAGGACGCTTTGACCAATGAACCTCGATTTTTCTTTTTGGAATATTTTTCGAAAGACCATTAGACAAAAATACATTGATTAAAAAAAACAAGTTAAAAAGTATCACTCGGTTTTGCCGACAGATATGACAGTTTATGAGATCCCAGATATACAGGATCAAAGTATTCCATATCATCTAAAATTGATCAAAATATTGGAAATTTTAAAAAAAAAATAATAATAATAATTAACCTCTATTTCCAATTTCTCTTTTTGGAATAATTTTTAATTATAATTTTAACCTTATGTGGGTGAGGTACGAGGAGGTGTGAGCCGATAAATTCCATATCTCTTGTTAAAAACTATGTAAAAATAACAGCCGAATAGTTTCGCAAGTTATGAGAGTTTAGCATAGACGGTGAAACAAGACTGTTGCTTTTCTGAATAAAATATTTTTCCCTGAAGATGACTGTCGAAGACAGTCGAAATATCGGAAAATAAAAATCAAAATTATAAAAAGAAAACACTGATGTTTTTCAATTGACCTTAAGCCAAAATAAAGTTAATAAGAATCAATATACAGGTCAACAATAAAAAAAAAAACAACAACAGAGACATAAATATTGAAAATTGTGACTCTTTATGGAAGAGGTACTAGAAGAGGTAGGTCATCTTCACACCAGATCTTTTAGTAAAAATATTGGAATATGCGAAATTTGAAGAGAATCACATGTATATTTCGCATTTTATAAGAGTAATAAATATTCAAAATTTCGGCCCGTTGTGGGAAAGGTACCGGAAGGTGTGGTCCGACATCTCCCATCTTCACCACTAATATTTTGTTGAGAACAATATTGGGATGTGCCGTATTTGCAAATAATTGGATGCTCGTTTCGCGTTTTATGAGCTTCATGGTTATTCAAAATTTTTGCCCGTTATGGTGGGGAGGTACCAGGAGGAATAGTCCAATCTCTACCATATTTATAACAGATCTTGTGTTGATAGAAATATTGAAATGTGTCAAGTCTGCATGTAATATATATATATATATATATATATATATATATACATATATATATATATATTTAATCCGAATTCAAGTTTATTGTGCAAATAATGACTAATATCAACCCAAATAGAGTGAATTTCGGGACGAAGTTTTTATACCCTACACCACATAGTGGTAAGGGTATTATGTCTTTGTGCATTTGTTTGTAACATGGAGAAGGAAACGAGATAGACCCATAGTTACTTTTGAGAACCTTCATAGAATCACTTTCTGAGTCGATTTATGCATGTCAGTCCGTCTGTCCGTCCGTCCGTCCGTCTGTCCATGTATTCTTGTGAACAAAATGCAGGTCGCATTTATTATCCGATTGAGATGAAATTTTCCAAACAATATTTTTTTGGCCCAAGGACGAACCCTATTGAAATTGGTGAGAATCGGATCAAATTTAGATATAGCTCCCATATATATCTTCATCCGATTTCGAGTTAAATGTGCACCAAATGTCCACTATCAGTCCAAATTACCTGAATTTTGGCACACCCAACCGAGTTCGGCCTAGAAGCAAGTATATCAAATTTGGAGAAAATCGGTTCAGATATAGCTATAGCTCCCATATATATCTTTCATCCGATCTGATCTTTAAGTCCCTCACATACCTACTATGCACTCCACAACCGTGATATTTGGTACCAGGTATTAGATGGAGCACAGGAATAGCTGTTTTAAATTTTATCGAAATCGGTTCAGATTTGGATATAGCTCCCATATATATCTTCTTCCGATTTCGGGTGATTGACCACCAAATGGCCGTAATAGCATCAATTTTGGCAAATCCGACCGAAACCAGCTTAGAAGCAAGTACACCAATTTTAGTAAAAATCGGTTCAGATATAGCTATAGCTCCCATATATATCTTTCATCCGATTTGTTCTTTAAGTCCCTCACATTCGTAATATGCACTCCACAGGAATGATATTTGGTACCAGATATCAGATAAAGCCCAAAAATAGTTGATCTTAATTTTATTAAAATCTGTTCCGATTTGGATATGACTCCCATATATATCTTCATCCGATTTCGTGTTAGCTGTGCATCAAATGGCCAATATCAGCCCAAATGGCATGAATTTTGGCAAATTCAACCGAAACCAGCCTATAAGCAAGTACACCAATTTTAGTACAAATCGGTTCAGAGATAGCTATAGTTCGTAAAATGCACGATAGAATTAGATAGATTTTGATTTTGTACCAAATATCTCATAGAGCTCTGAAATTCCCTGTATAAACCTTTTTACGAGAGCTCTACTAAATATGCATAGTGGTGTAGGGTATCATATAGTCGGCCCCGCCCGACTTTTGAGCTTTCCTTACTGGTTAATTTTGTGGAACCCGTCTCCTCCTCCTCTAAGTGATATCATGCACTCTATAGCAAAATACAACTGCTCTAGAGCCAAATGTTGAAAGATGGTATCATCTTCTTGAAATAAATTATTTTGTTACGGAAGCTAAAAATATGCATAGTGGTGTTGGGTATCATATAGTCGGCCCTGCCCGACTTTTGAATTTGCCTTACTGATTTTTAGTGCCTAAAATAATTTAGCACCATTGCCACAAATTTATACTTCCACAACCCCCACGGCAGCTATGTACCCGGTAATTATCTAAGATACTGGCATCGGTCCATGTGGAAATGAGTCAATTAATATCAAACTACCCAATCTTCCTTAACAGTACTTAACGATTTAAATTATGTAATTAATGAAAATAAGCGAAATGACACGCCTCCAAAACAAACAAGCTTTTCTTGATCTCCCACTTAACTATGTGATTGAAGGCACAAAGAATGCGAATATTGGCAATTAACCTCCCCCCATTGGGCAATACGTGCGAAATACAAACAAACATATTGAAGAGATATTCTCCCCATTGCGGTGATAACGAAATTTGAATGGCCCAGACAAAAGACAAATATGCAGATAATTTAGTGCATGACAATTACAAAAGAATTTTTGCATTCATTGAACAACAATTGACCTATTTTTTTCAGTTTTCTGTTTTTGTCCTTCCTCCTACCTCACACTATGCTCTACACATTTTAATTGGTAATTTCTCACATACTAATGTTTGCTGGTTTCTCCCTGTTGTTCTCTCTTCTTTTTTCCATGTTCGCTCAACTGCATCATGGCTACTGGAATATTGTTTACGTAATACCCTTGATGTGTACATGGTCAACCAATGCTAACGTTACTGGTCGACTGGTGGATTCCTGGCTGAATTATGCAGTGTCAAACGCCCTGAAACCACAGCGACGCTTTACCATATCTGGTCTCCAACCATCGACACTCTATCAGCTGCGCATGGAGGCGCACAATGTGGCCGGGGTGTCACAGGCCGAGTTCTCGTTCGTTACACTCACCAAGGACGGTGATCCACCACCACCGGAGATTGTGCAGCGCGGCCAGCGTGGCACCAATGTATTCTACGGAAATGTCAACCTATTGATACCGAGCATAGCTACCGTATCTGGGATGATATGTACCATAGCACTGGTTTTCATGTGCTACCGACACAGTGAGTATTTAGAGCAACAATAAATATTGTGGAAACAAACAATAGTAATAACGACAGCAACAACAAAAACAACAACAACGACTTCTACATGCCAACAATACAAACAACCACAGAATCGAAAACAAAACCCATACAAATGAAAGCCAACAATCAGTAACAGAACCTAAGGCATTCTGTCGTATATTTCGTTCGATAGAGAGTTCTGTGTTTCTTTGTACCGACTCCTGCTGCTGCGGCTCTTGTTGTTTGAATATGGTAAACAACAACAACAGCAGCAGCACACAATAGCAAAACTGCAGGATACTTCGAATAGCATAATACAATTGCTTAACGTACTTATTCCTTCCCGTACACCATTCGAAACGATACGAGTTTGAAGTTACTTTATGAATGGCAAGTTGAAATTGAATACAAACGGGATGTGAGTAACAGGATATGGCCAGCGAGACCAATGGGCTAATATATTTATTTATGTGATAGAGAATTCTTTGTGTTCATTTTGTAATTTAATGAACATAGAAGTTTTATATAAATATTTTGTTAATTTGTAGCTTTTATCAGTCTTCAGTGTATTCTAAGAGCAAGGAAAAATGTATGGCACAGTATGAGAGTCTTATTAAAAATAGAACAGCAACATTTTTATAGGTTGTCTAATGGAGACGACATTTCTTTTGCGCGTTATGATCACACAAATCAGTCATTAGATTTAAAATAAGAATAGATGACTTTAATGGTTCGAAAAAAAAAAAAACAAGTGAAGAAGCAGTAATTTCGGCCTGGAATTTGCAAATCTGCACAAAAAGAAACTCCATCGAAAAATACTGGTAAATTATAACCAGTAAAGAAAGTCTAAAAGTCGGGCCGACTTTATGATATCCTACACCACTCTGTATATTTAGTGTAGCTTCACTTAACAAATAAAAGTTTTTGATGGGGAATTTGTGAGAATTAAATCATACCAACTATGATTTACCAACTATATATATATATATATATATATATATATATATATATATATATATATATATATATATATATATATATATATATATATATATATATATATATATATATATATATATATATTATAATTTAAAGTCCGAATATATGAGAGGAATATCCTCCTCTGAATCGATTTTTACTAAATATGCCGAGGAATTTGTGCCTTTACAATTCGGGTTTTGGTGCATAATTAACTTCAAATCGGATAAAGATAAATATGGGGGCTATATCCAAATTTTAACCGATCTCGTTAAAATTCGGCAATGTATTTCAGAGCTGTTTTTGATATATTTCCCCGAATATCGTTACTATGGAGTGCATATCACGGCTTTGCAGGACAAATTTAACAAATCGGATGAACAATATATATGGAAGCTGTAGCTATATCTGAACCCAAAAACCATCAAAATATCGAATATAGGGAGGTTATGAGCAATTGTCTGCCATATTATGTATTACGAACTAAAAATTACAAATTTTGAAACATTTCCGGTGAAAAGTGTAACAGAAATCATCAAAATACCGAATATCTGGAGGGACAATTATATGGGCACTATACAAAAACCTAGACCTAGAGATAAAATAACTGCAACAAAGTCAAACGCCATAATTTTTACATTTTTGTAAATGTTATTAAATGAAAGCAAAAAATGTCGGAAATAGCATTAAATTTAAGAATAAGTTTGGGTTTGTTCGAATTGGTCACCTTTGCCAAGAATTATGACCTTCAGGAATTATGGCCTGAAACCGCCACACGCTGCTCGAATGTTGCTCTGCGGTATTTTGTCCCATTTCCGGCGAAGCGCTTACTTGAGGTGATCGACACTTTGGTATTTTTTTGGTACCAACCTTGCTTTCCAAAACACTCCAGACACAATAGTCCAACGGTTTAGTATTCGGAGATTTTGGTGGCCAATGTGCGCTGGAAATGAAACGAGGAACCTCATTTTGCATTGTGTGGCGCGTGCTGAATGCGATGGTGCTGAGTTGTGTTAGAATGCCCAAGGTCTACGGCCAAAATGTTTGCGTGCCCGAGACTTTAATACACCCTCTAGAATATTTTCGCAATAATATTTGGCATTTATTCTGATGCCACGGTCGATTAATACGAGTGGAGAGCGACCATCGGCTGTTATGGCGGCCCACACCATCACCATGGCCGGCGCTTAAGTCCTAGTAGCGAACCGAAGGTGCACATTTTCAGCTGCCCTCTTTGGCAAGTAAACACTATAATTTTGTTTGTTAACAGACTGGTGGACAACGAATGTTTTCTCACCGGTGAAAATCAAATTCGGCAGTTCACCACTTTCGGTCAAGCGAAGCAACTCTTTAGCTCTTTTGAGTCTATTTTCTTTCTGTTGCGGTGTAAGTTCGTGCACCTTTTAGAAATTTCAATGGCTGTACCTCGAGCTTATTTTTCAATATTTGGCGAATGGGATGTTGCGATATGTTCAGCTAATGAGCCATTTTTCGGCCACTGCGACGCGGGTTTGGATAAAGTCTTACAATAGCCACTTATAGCCAATTGTAAAGAAATCACGCTTGAATTCCATCACGAATAACTTTTTTTCTGGATAATTCTCACCAAAATGCTTTTGTACGCCTGTGAACAATATATAAGCTGTCACAGGAATAATTTTAACAGCTGTCAGACGAGTGGCTTAGAAATGACAGCAGTCTGAAATTTGTTGCAGTTTTTTTAATATCTTCCTGTATACCCTCCTTTCCATGGTTGAGGGTAAAAAACTACCTTGTTATATAAAAGCAGGTCTCCAATTTAATTCTTATACTAAATTTCTACATTTTAGCTATATCCGTTCACAAAATACCAAATCGTACCAAAAATAGTGATTTTTGAACACTTTTAGCTCGAATTTCAAGTCCAGCTATCCTACACTCCATCAGCGACCTTCATCCCAAATTTCGGAATTCTTTCTCTATCCGTTTGATCAAGACAATTTTTTACATTTTTAGTGCTTTGTAGTACTTTAGGTAGACTAATAGAATAAATAGTATCCTATGCCCGTCTCTTGGCTCTAAACTATACTGTATTGTTTTCATAGAATCACAGAATTATTTTAAATCATGGGAGACGACTTTAAGTTTAAAATCCATTGAATGCCAACTACTGTCATAATATGAATACCACAATCACATTTCATTTTAATTCTTAATTTTTTATATTTATTATCTTATATTAACAGAACAAACCGGACGCATACAAAAGGAATCGTTAGAAAATCGCCAGAACTCTGAAGCTGCTCAGCGTGAACGTTACTATGCCACAATTCATAAGGTTTCGATGCAGAACAACGATAAGATACCAGGTATGTCGAAAATACCAAATGTATGTGAACATAAAAACAAAAGAGATAGGTGATGGGCAATCTGAACTGTTTAATGCCTTCATTTAAAATTATTTGAGGATATGAGACTGCACTAAAAAACATTTTTTTATTTCTCCCAATAAAGAAAGGTTTTGGTCAGTCGTTCCCCACAATGCTCTGTCTACCATCATTATTTATTAAATATTCAAATATATTTATTGCTTAATTTCCCTTTTCTTTTCTGTTTTTTTTTTTTTTTACAGAAACATCCGAGGATATTTCACCCTATGCCACATTTCAGCTATCCGAAAGTGGTAATATGTCCCAACCGCATCATGCTGGTCCAGCTAATACCCTGCTGCATTCGTTTATGTACCACGAACGAGCTCTGACGGAGGGCTGTTCGTCGACACCACCTGCTGCGGTATTAAAACCCACCCAACATCATTACCACCATAACCACCACAGTCAAAATCAACGTCCAACCCAGACTATTCATAATCATTATCAAACCTCACCGTTTCATAATATCGTGCGTTTATTTAATACTTCATTAGGGGTTTTCTTCTAGTTTTTCATTTTTTGTATTGTTGTGGGACTTATCAGCATTATTGTTGTGATTATTATTCTTATTATAATTTTAGTTGAGTCGGAAGTCTTTGTATATTTTCGTTGTTATATATTTTTTTTTTTTTTTGTAACACCAGCCAGCCAGCTAGTCAGTTTCATTGTTATTGTCAAGGGGTAATGGGCTTTGGCGAACATCGTAACAGTCTTATTTTAAATGTCAAGGCGAAGCTTTTGTTCGCCATGGCACAGCTTTATTATTACACTGCTGCTCGTAGCAATATTTAGTTATAAAATTAAAAATATATATTTTCATTTTTTTATTTATAATTTTCAAACCCAAATCGCATTGCCAGTTGTGGTGTGAAAAGGTTTCGCCATTAGTTTACTTAGTTGTAATTTAATTTTTATATATTTTTTTTTTTTTTTGATGTTTCTTCTGTTGTGTTTTTGTGGAACAACAAAGGCTAAATGAACGCTAGATATTATAAGCTACCACTGTATATCCCTTTGTTTATTTTGCCCATTGAAAACGAAGTCCTACCTATGGCTTCGATAATGTATTGTTTGTGGCAACATGACAATCATCAACATCATCACTGAGCACAAGTTAAACCCCCCCACCAGTAGTATGCTTTGAAAGGCTTTAGCCACTTTGATCCCATAACCCCCCTTATTTGTTCAACAGCTATTCGGCGAAACTTTGTTGCTATATAAACGATTGTTTTTGTTCTTTTATTTTTTTTTTTTCGATGAACCTACAATTTTGTTTGTTCTGTATAGTCTTCCAAAAATCGTCGACGACATTCCCGCAAAACGGAGCCCGAAAGCGAGGAGTCCGAATCGGATCAGGACCAGCTGACGTCAAGTCGTACGGAGTCTTCCAATCAACATGAGGGGAAAATGAAACACAGTAAGTTTGTCACGATTTCCATGGATAACATAAAGTATTCGATTGGTTTGGTATGGCGTGAAAAAGAAAAAAAAAATATTTGATTTGATAGTCCATATAATTTGATGTTTAAAATTTCCGTATTTCATGCGAATGTTGACCGCCATTGCTCCTCAAATGGTCCATCCGCTTAGTCCAATGTTGGCATGCACTTTCCAATATTCCAGCCGGTATCTAACGAATAAATGAGAATATTTGCTGCAATGCTTGAAGTAGGTTTATCTGTATAGATATGAACATTAACGGAGCCTCACAAAAAATAATCTAAAGGACTCACATCGCACGATTGGCTGCATATCCAATTGACCGGTCCCAAACGTGAAAAAAATGTTCACCGATATGGTCTCTCTATTTGAAAAGTCATTTTGGAAATTCGAGTAAAAAGTTACGATAAGTACTGAAATTCGTCGATAGTTCATGTTCGGCCTTTTTAGTACTCAAAGTTGCACAATTTGTTCAGTCTGACAACATTTTTGATAAAAACAAAAACTACGTTGCACCAAATTTTCAGATTTGCAAGGTTTTTCTATTCTTTCCAGTATTTCCTTTTTTCGAAAGGATAATAGAAAAATGTTTACATTTGTACCAGATATTCTTCTTCAATTTGGTACTAGAAAATGTATGGATATTGAATACACTTCTGTCAAATTTTATCGAGATCGAAGCAGATTAGGATATATCCGGCACATATATAATCCATATATAAAACATTATCCGATATTAAGTTTATTGTGCACCAAATGGTTAATATCGGCCCAAATGGACAGAATTTTGGCAATTACGACTAAATTCGTCCTAGATACAGGTTTTCCAAATTTGGTGTAAATCGGTTCAGATATATCTATACCCCATATATATATGTTTTATCCGCTTTGGAGTTTAATCATGCGTAATATGCACTCCACGACCATAATCTTTAGTACCAAATGCCAGATACAGCTCAGAAATAAGTGTTTACAATTTTGTCCAGATCGGTTCAGATTTGGATATAGCTCATCTATATATCTTTATCCGTTTTCAAGTTTTTTTGTGCACCAAATGATTAATATCAGCGCAAATGGAGTGCATTCCGATGGAATTCTGCCTAAAAGCAAGCGCTCCAGGGTTTGGTGAAAATCAGTTCAGATCTAGCTATAGCTCCTATATGCAGGGTAAGATAAAAAACTGCAACAAAGCCAAACGCCATAATTTTTACATTTTTTTTTTTAATTTTAATAATATTAAAATGTATTATAATATTCCGTATTTATTCTGATTCCACGGTCGATTAATACGAGCGGAGAGCGACCATCGGCTAATATGGTGGCTCACACCATCACCATGGTCAGCGCCTGAGTTCTGGTGGCCAAATGAAGGTGCACATTTTCAGCTAACCTCTTTGGCGATCATTTTGTTTGTTTAGAAACTGCTGAACAACGAATGTTTTCTCATCGGAGAAAACCAATTCGGCACTCCACCACTTTCCGCTAAGCGAAACAACTTCTTAGCTCTTTAGAGTCTATTTTCTTTCTGTTGCGGTGTAAGTTCTTGCACCGCAACTGAAATTTCAATGGTTTTACCCCGAGCTCATTTTTCAATATTTGCCGAATGGAATATTGCGATGTTCAGCTCACGAGCCATTTTTCGGGCACTGCGACACAATTCGCTTCTTTACTTTTCGAACCATATCTGCTGATGTTGCTGTCTTTCCTTGACGTCGGGCTACGCTACCAGTATCACGTACACAAAAGATTTATTCACATTTAAATGCTGAAGTGCTCTGACGATAGCCATTTGTGGTTTTACAGCCAAATATAAAGAAGTCACACTATCACGCTTGAATTCCATCACGAATAACTTTTTTCTGGAAAATTCTGACCAAAATTCTTTTGTACCCTTTAACCAATATAATGAGCTGTCACTGGAATAATTTTAACAGATGTCGGACGAGTGTCTTAGAAATGACAGTAGTCTGAAATAGGTTGCAGTTTTTTCATCTCACCCCGTATCTTTAACCGATTTTGGATTAAATGTGCATCAAATGGGCAATATAAGTCCAACTGACCTGAATTTTGTTACATCCCACCGAATTTAGTCTAGAACTAAGTACATCAAATTTGGAGAAAATCTGTTGCGATAAAGCTGTAGCACCTGTATAGGTATTTCATCCGATTTGGGGTTTCAGCTCAATTCCTGCTTGAAACCAGTATTTCAAATTTAAGTATGAATCAGTTCATATATAGCTATAGCTCCCATATATATGTTTTATCCGATATGGGTTTAAAGTCCCCCACAAGCCCAATATGCACCCCACAACAATAATCTTTAGTACAAAATATCAGATACAGCTCAGAAAAAAGTGTTTAACATTTTGCCGAGATCGGTTCAGATTTGGATATAGCTCCCCTGTATATCTTCATCCGATTTCAGGTTTCTCGTGTAAAAAATTGCACTTCCGATGGAATTCAGCCTAAAAGCAAGCGCCTCAGATTTTGGTGAAAATCAGTTCAGATATAGCTATAGCTCCTACACATATGTTTCATTCGAATTGGTGTTAAAGTCCCTCACGTGCATAGTATGCACTCCTCGACATTGATTTTAGATAACCCACATCACATACTTCTCGAAAATATCTTTGCAAATTTTATCGAAATTGTTCAAGTTTTTATATAGCTGCGATATATGTCTTCATCCGATTTCACTGCTCATCATATATTTTATATCAGTCCAAAGTGAATAGATTTTTTCATATTCAATAGAATTTTACAATTCGGTGAAGCTCGGTCCCGTATATCTATTGCTAAAATAAATATTTTTAAATATTATCCAGGCACTGTAAAGCTATGTTATTCGGATCATAATTGGTATGATCTACTTCACTTAAATTCCCAATATTACTTTTCTGTTACGGGAGCTAAATACGTGTTGGGAATCATATAGTCGGCCCACCTGACTTGTGACCTTTCCTTACTGTTTTTTTTTTTTTTTTTTTTCAAAATAATCAGGTTTATGTTTTTTCGAACAGAACCCCGATTGTGTACAATTCCAACCATGAATAAAATACTAAAACCACATTGTTTCTGATCTAGGGCCAGTCAGCTTACTTATATTCCAATTTAATACCACAATGTTTACATACAAAAATTCTAAATAAAATTCGTAAACCAATCAAATATTTTATGTTATCAATATCAATGTATATTAGAATATTATATAACATTTTTATTTTCCATATAATATTTTATACTTTTCATAATCTTATTTTTTTATTTCACAGAATCTAGTAACACACAACATTTTCAAAATCACAATATCTCAATAACATACCTGTAGTATTAGTTGGTAATCTATTGATTGATGAATTGTTCAGATCATTTATTTGCCAAAAGAACAAGAAAGACAACACCTCTTACATCGCTAACCAACTAACCATATAAATTCGTAAACAAATTAGAATAACAAATTTATAGACAAAAATAAATAAAAAAACACACACACACACACCAAAACATTACATATAGTTTATCTTTAAGTCACTAGATAGTTTTCGTTTAGCTTTCCTCTTTTTAGCTTTTATTTTTCTTTTCTGTTCCTTGACTACAAATCATTTTTGTGAAAGCATTGTTGAATTGTTAATTTTTTTCTTTTAATTTCTTCCTCCCCTACCACAGGTATCATCTACCATGGGGCACAATCAAGCACATCCTCTGATCTATCACCAATGTCCGAACAAAAATCATTGCCACGTCGCGGTCGTTCAAGGTATCATCATCAATTATATCAGTTTTCCACCAACACAACACCGCGACATCATAACAATAGCAAAAACTCTTCCAGCAACAATCCAAACAAGATCCTCTCGCCACGCAGTGGTGTCGGCAATCTCAAGTCCATATCGAGCACATTCAAATCACAAGACTCCATTCAGTGTCACATACCCACATTGGTTAAGTCACCATCCATTACACAGCAACAAAACAAACACAACCAACAACAACAGCAACACCAGCAGCAACAACAACAGTCCTCAAACATAAACACATCCAGTAGCTTCACCAGTAGTAATTGTAGCAAGATATCACAACAACCCCTACTTGTCACACCCAAAATTGCACCACACCACTCCCAGCAACTCCAAATGAACACTGGCAACCTCCACCACACCAGCGACTTGCTCGACAGTAGTAGTTGTAACAACTCCCTTGCATCTGTAGCCCCCTCCCTGGCATGCATGCAGCCATCATCACAATTTCGTCCCATTGCCCATAAGGCCGACGAAGGTCTGTCGGGCGGCACTCTCTTGAATCCCTCAACAGCTCCATTGTCGTCGAAATTCTTTACGGCACCGACCCTGCCCAAATAGGATACGGCCCATGGGGGCAATGTAGACGGCAGCAGTCTGGTCGACAGCGATGGCATTGTGAATAGTTTCGGCTATAATATCGGCGAGATTTCGTGCACCTACATGAACCCCATTGATCAGAAGATCGACTATGAGTCATAGGTATATTGACGAAGTCAAACAAATCTATAGGTTTAGTTAGCGCAAGAATTGCTTAAACGAATTGAATGCAAATCGAAGAGAAATGTGTAAAATATGTGTATGTATTTAAGTAAGTAAGTAAGTATAGGTGAAAAATGATGGCGGTATTTTACAATTTAATGAAAATCGCAAACATTTCCAAATGTGAGGATTACAAGTAAGGCTTTAAAATTAAAAAAAAAAAATGAAATAATTTTCTGGAATATATTTCACAGTTAAGAAATGAATCATAAAACGCTATATCATAAATTCAGAGACGATGAGAGGAATATAGGACTAGCTTATATTTCCGATCTCATGCACTCTATTCCAAAATTTGAAAGCCTTTATAAGCTTGCAACAACATTTTTTGCTATTTTTACTACTTATAAAAATTGTTTTATGCAGTTACCTCCACTATAAAATGAGGAGCATATTAAGTATGTCAGGCAGTTTGGAAAACTTCAAAAGTTTTACATTGACCGATACCAATGAAGGTATAGACTAAAAAGTTTTAAAATTTACCCCTTCCGGCAGACGTCACTATGGTTGATCTCGGGCCAGTTAAGTCACTCAGGGCTAGTGAAGTTACTTGACTTCGAAAACAATTTATTCTTTTTATACCCTACACCACAAGGTGGTCAGGGTATTATGTCTTTGTGCATTTGTTTGTAACAGGCAAAAGGAAAGAGATAGACCCATAGTTCCTTTTGATGATCTGCATAGAATCACATTCTGAGTCGATTTATGCATGTCCGTCCGTCCGTCTGTCCGTCCGTCCGTCCGTCCGTCCGTCCGTCTGTCCATGTATTTTTGTAAACAAAGTACAGGTCGCATTTATTGCCCGATCCAGATGAAATTTTGCACAGATCATTTGTTTGGCCCAAGGACGAACCCTATTGAAATTGGAGATAATCGGTCAAAATTTAGATATAGCTCCCATATATATCTTCGTCCGATTTGCCTTTTATTGTGCACCAAACGTGTAATATCAGCCCGAATTGTATGGAATTTTGCACATACAACCAAATTAGGCCTGAAAATATGTATGCCAAATTTGATCGAAATCGGTTCAGATATAGCTATAGCTCCCATATATATTGTTCATCCGATTTCTTATTTTTGTCCACCGCCGCCGTAATATGCACTCTGCAACAACAATATTTGGGGAAATATATCAAATGCAGCTCAGAAATACATTTGCAAAATTTTATCGAGATCGGTTCAGATTTGGATATAGCTCCCATATATAACTTCGTCCGATTTACCTTTTATTGTGCACCAAACGTCTAATATTTGTCCAAATGTGATGGGATTTGGCATATACGACCGAATTGAGACTAGAAGCTAGTATGTGAAATTTGGTGAAGATCGGTTCAGATATAGCTATAGCTTCCATATATATTATTCATCCGATTTGTTATATTTGTTACCCACAGCCGTAATATGCACTCCGTAACAACGATATGCAGGGAAATATGTCAAATACAGCTCAGAAATATCTTTGCCAAATTTTATCGAGATCGGTTCAGATTTGGATATAGCTCCCATATATATATTTATCCGATTTCAAATTAATTGTGCACCAAATGGTCAATACAAGTCCGAATTTAAAAGATACAAATTCTTCGGCACGTTTAGTCCTTTGAACTTTAAATTATAATTATAATTATAATCATAGCGTGTATGATTGAATTCTCCCATAAAAACTTTTAATTGTTATGTGGAGCTCTACTAAATTAGCAAAGTGGTGTAGGGTATCATAAAGTCGGCCCCGCCCGATTTTAAGACTTTCTTTACTGGTTTTTTACTATTTAAGTTCTTTATTTTTATATTTCACGACATATTTGGATGATGTAAAAGTAAAAAAAGTCACTGTTTCGTTTTTAATCGATAAATAATAAATAATCATAAAAATATTCAATATTTTGTATTTTGAGAGAATTGAGTGATTCTACTGAACCTCTCTCACAGCATGAACGACATCTATTGAAGCACTTTTTTCGAAGATAACAGATGAGACAACTTTTTAGTCTATACCTAATTTGTCTATGCCGATACTATATTGTTATACCGTAGTCAACACTGTGGTGCAGGGTATTATATCTTTCTGCATTTGTCTGTAATAGACAATTAGTTACAAGATGCTGGAATAGTAGTCGATTTAGCGATGGAAGGGCAAAATATTGCGCATATGCCTATTTTGTCAATAAGCTGGTATAGTTTGTAAATGGGCCATACTGGTTTTCTATATCTGATTTCAGACACATTTTTGAAGAGAATTGTTTAAAATTAATAATCAGAGTGGAATACATTCCACCTCTGATGGCAAAACGTTTTGAATACAGTTCCACATTCTGGTATAGCACTCATATAAAGATACCTCTGAGCCAAATATATCAGCAGAAGTGCTTTAAATTTATATCTGATGTTCGCAATAGATTGCCTACAAAGGTCCGCCTTATGTATTGACCTCCAAATATCGGGTACCTCTTACTTTTTGATATTTTGAAGACATAAAATGTATTCTCTAACATTTAAATATATTCCGGTACTTTTATTTTTGAAAGGTTCTCTTTACTTTACATTGTATATACCCTTAGTACGGCTAAAGAGGGTATGTATCATTTGACACGGCCAAAACCTGCCTCATCGAAAGAACGATCTTAGACCCTGGTTCAATTTGGACGAATTCCCTATCAGGGCATTTGAAGTCAACCAGGCGATGTCACAAAAGGTGTGCTAAGTCTGGTGAAAAAATGGACAGCCCATTTCTTTGGGTACCTACTCCACAATGGGTCTAAATTTTCAAAAAACCTATATCTTAATTAATGTGAAATAAGAGTCCCATTGTCCTTCCCAATATTTTTACCAACGCAAGATCTGATATGAATAACGGACCATTCTTTCTGATACCTACCCCACAACGGGTCAACATTTTAAAAATAACGTATCTCTCATAAAAAGTGAAATAAGAGTCCCATTGTAGCCCATAAAAGGCAGTATGAACATCCGAAAAAACACTGTGGTCAGGGTATTATGACTTTGCGCACTTTCTTTTAATTTAGAGAAGAATGCGAGGTAGATAAGGTGCCTAAAAAGTGTAATGCAGCTCAAATGGGATGGATTTTGATGCATATCTGTTCAGACAAAATGTCCTCCTCTAATTAAGTAGAAATCGATGCAGAGGAGGAAATTCCTTCCATATGCTAGTTCCTTCTGACTTTAAATTATAACTATAATCATACTTGTTATGATTACCTCAATTAAATACACAAATTGGTGTACGGTATCTTAAAGTCGGTCCCACCAGACTTTTGGCCTTTCTTTATTGGTTTTAAACTTTTAACTTTCTTACTGGTATTTATACCGTCAGAAGATCTATTCTGGAGATGGAGAGTCAACATTTTAAATAACACTATTAAATTTAAATTTTTAACAAATTGCGGAAAATCCAGCAGATTTTGAAAGTAGAGCTAAACTATTTAAAAAGCTGTAAGTTCGGCAAGGCCGAACTTTGAATACTCTCCATCATTTGCAGCGAATTTGGCAATTTTGAAAAAAAAAAAAAAAAAATAAAAACAAAATTCTGTTAATATCTTAAAAATACCGAATGTAGCCGCATATTAGGGTTTATACGACGAAGTGGACCTGTATAGGCAACTTTTGTCACAAGCTATTGCAATATTCAAATGCGAAACATGCAAAAAATCTGTTTATAATGTAGCCAAAATCATCAAAATACCGAATATAGGGAGGTACCATGGGGGTTATAAAACGTTGACCTGCATAGACAATTTTCCGGAATAGGCGTTAACATCCATTACGAACTTCAAATGCGAAATTTGAAACAATTCCGGTAAATAATGTAGCTAAAATCATCAAAATACCGAGTATCGGGAGGTACCCTTATATGGGGGCTATACGAAGACGTTGACCTGCACAGACAATTCACTGTACTGTCATAGGCTATAGTAGCCATTATGAACCTAAAATACGAAATTTCAAACAATTCTGTTGAATAATGTCGCTAAAATCATAAAAAAATATCGAATATCGGGAGGTACCGTTAAAAAAGGGCTGTACCAAATTGTGGACCTGTACAGACAATTTTCTGTCATAGACTGTAGTATCCATTACGAATTTCAAATATCAAATTTGAGAGATTTCCGGTGAATAATGTCGTTTAAATTACCAAAATACAAAAATTGGGAGGTACCCTTATATGGGGGCTATACCCAAACGTGGACCTACAAAATATACAAAAAATAATTTGATACAAAATATACATTTGAGTAAAATTTTATCAACTTCCTTTATTTCGTTCGGAAGCTAGACTGATTTCCACAGACTGACAGACGCATAGGAGGACGGACATCACTCTATCGACATATAATTTTATGCTGATCAAAAATATAAAATAAAATATGTGGGGTCTAAAATGTATATTTCGAGGTGTTACAAACGGAATGACAAACTTAATATACCCTCCATACTATGGTGGACGATCTATCAAAAAAAAAAAGACACGTCTATAGGCGTTTTGAAAGTGTACATAGAAACTTAGATTAAGATTTCTCATAATCCGCGTATTTTAGGTATATAGTGTACAATATTGCAGAGAAAAATACGTGAAATATTTTAGCCAAAAATTGTAACCCTAAGAAAGTAAACAAAGGGTTTGGTTCTTTTTTCAAAATATTGTTAAAAACTCACTTTAATCACAGCAACTAAAAATATTTTAGAAAATTATTTTTTCATACAATTCTACCAACGGTCCTAGGTTAGAGGTCTAAATAATACCCCAACGGCAGGAATTCAAATATATTAGGGTTACATTTAAGGGCTAAAGCCGTATCTTGTATGAGTTTGTGCAAGATCTCCAACAAATCATCAGTTTAGAAGGATGACGTCAAAGGTAAAAATATTCTTCATCAAATATCACCAAACAATATAAATCTCTATTTCTATTGTATGCAAAATATTTCCGCATCAATCTTCCGAAAAAACACGATTGTACAGCCGTATCTTGGGTAACATTCATTAAATTCATATTTAAGTATTTTGACAGGAATCTTAAATATATTTATAATGACAAGTTTATTTAAGAAAATCAAAATTATTTTGATTTTTATATCGGCTTAAATTCTTGCAAATATTTTCTCAAATCCTTTTGCTCAAATGATGGCATAAATGCGAATCAAAATGTTTTTTCCCAACAAAACTATGATTTTTTTATTTAAAAATGATCTTTTCCAGAAACTGCCACTCGTATTGCAATTTATATTATCTTTTTGCCTATTAATTTGTAATCCTATATTATTTGTTAGAATTTTTCATTAAAACTAACAATTTAAACTCTCATTGGAAATGGTAATTGAAGCTCATCATTGTAAAATATTGTCATCAGCATATAGTTTCTCCAACGTGTCTCTTGTCTCTACTCTCATGTTTTATTCGATCCCCCAAATGTAGTATTTTCTTCATCTTCTCTAACTGTGACTGACATTGGTAATGTGGTTCGCATCAGCAACATTTCATCATAGCGCTTTGTATCTTCTTCTCTGCAAACATTCGACCAACAAACAACACACAACCAAAATACTTTCATTGTCAGACAACATCAAAAACCAAAAAAAAAAAAAAAAATGAAATGAAATTTGCAAAACTTTTTACGGAATGATGACTTTTGAATTATTCCCCTCTTCTGATATTCTCTTTTTGTCATTGTTATGTACATCTGTGTACGTCTCTCACTCTCTGTGTATGTATATATATGCGTGCACCACAACATTAGGCCTGGAGGTGTTATACGCACCCTGCATCCACTGCAGCTACAAGCTGAATGCAATGTAATCCCCAGCGGTGGTTTTCATCAAATTCCCGTCGAAGTGGCTATGCCATCCGCGGAACGCACTGAAGTGGCACAGGTTGAATGTGATGTGGAAACATTGAAGAAATTAAAATTGGGCCTAAGGTCAACGTTGTGGTCCCGCCCGGCCTCGACCACATCACATTTGCTACAGCAACAACAGCAGCAGCAACAACAACAGCGGGCCCAAGAGAATCGCCCCATATCACAGCCACAATTGCAACAGTTACATCAGCAACAACAGCAGCAGCAGCAACAACCACAACAGCAACAACAACAACAGTTACCAACTCATGCTGCTGCAATCAAGTCTCAACAATCACCATCCACATCACAAAAACAACAACAGCTACAACCACGCCAAAACTCACCAGCACCCACCCAGAAACTTCTCAAGGAGAAGTCCGATTATTCCATATCTGTGTGAAATATTTATGCACCCTACAAGAGTTGAGCGGATTTCCATAGTCGTTTCCGTTTCCTATCGTCTCGCATGCGAATGCAAACCAAACAAACGAACTCAAACGGAGGCTGACCAACCCCCGACCACCAACCCCCCACCCCTCATCCATAGTCGGCAATAACTCACTCGTACTTGAGAAGTAGACTGTTGTGTTGTGCTCCAATTAGGTTAAACTCGATCCATGTTAATTATTCATTGGTCTGTTCATTGTTGCCTACCGTCGTGGGTGCAGCAATGATGAAGCTTACCAAAAAAGAAACAAAAAACAAAAACGTAAAGAAGAAACTAGGAAAACGCTAAGAAAGAAGATGAGGTTGAAGAAAATCAAAGTTGTATGTATAGTTGTGTATGTGTTTGTATGTATGTCCCACAAATACATTGAGAACAATTGTTATGTTTGCCAAGTTGAAGATAACGAGGAGTGTTAATTTTTTTTTAACCAAAATCAAACCATTTGATGTGTGACTGTTTGTATGACGTGTATTATATTAAGTTTGTGTGTGTGTGAGGGTCGTTGTTGTGTGCCGTGATTAGTAAAGGAGCAAGAAGTTTATAACAATAATTGAGGAATAATATCGGATATGAATTCAATGTTATTTACCATTGCTCTACAGAAATATTTGTGTGTTTTAAAGTAATTTTTGTTAAACAAATTCTTAAGTATGTTTCCACCTGTAGTGCTGCGATTGGAATATTAATTTTTTTCGTCAAAGTCATGGGCGTTGATATATTTCTATATCCAAATGAGTGTCGTTAATGGAAACATGTTTGTATAGATTCAGAATTCAGGATAAAGCCCATTTTAATATATCCTTCGATTATAAGATCAAATGCTCTGTAAAGTTGTTTGTTGCGATTTTCGGAATATTTTCGAAAATTGTATAACCCTTGAATATTTTGACCTTGAAAATTACAATTTATTGATTTTTTGTGTTTACACCTTATCTTCCGTATAATAATAGCTTTAACTTTGTCTGAGAGAAATAAACGGAATTTGGTTTGCAATGTAGGAGTCTCGCAAAATTATTTCTTTGGACATCAAGGATCAAAATTTTGGGTCACATAACAGCTAAAGGTGACGAAATGAGAAAAAAAAAAAAGAAAAATGGTACAGGGTATTATTCTTTGTGCATTCGTTCGTAAGTTATGCATGTCCGTCGCAAAGTAAAGGGTCCATTTTTTGGCCGATTGTGTTTAAATTTTGCATAGTTCACACCTTGTCCAAAGAATTAACGCCATAGAAATTCGAGATTATCGGTCTAAATTTAGAAAAAGTTCCCATATATATCTGCGTCCGATTTCACCGTTATCGTGCACCAATAGTCTAATATTAGTCCCATTTAAAAAAAAATTAAAGGCTTTAGACTCTAGGTCTCTTTGTAGCAAATACTTTACCGAATATTTGTAGTCGATATAGCTAAATCTGGAAGCAATAAAATCAAATCCCATATTGAGCCTAGGGAGTACCGGATATAGAAGATCGAAATTGGTTTTGCTCTGTAAAATGTAAAATCAGTGTCCAGTTTTCTTCAAATTTAGTACTTTCCAATAGGTTTGAGTATCTGAAATAGTTCAAAATTGCCACATTGTAATATTTATATCAGGCTAAAGCGACGTTCGAGAATGTGCTATTATACAATGGGAGTGCTAATATGTCTGCCTATATTAGAGTAGTCGAAAAACGGAATATATCAGACCCCTATTTCCGTCTCTTCCTCCATTAAAGCTTATATAATAGAAAATTAATTGTACAACCTCCACAAATGGTCAACATTTTAAAATATATAAATAATAATAATATAAATAATGGTTTTAGAACCTAGGTCTCTTTGAACCAGTTCCGTTTCAAGACATTTGGAGTCGATCTAGAGTTGTCCGTACGTCTGACCGGCAGAGCTCGATAACTCTAGACGGGAGTATCCGATTTCGTCCAAACTTGGTACAATATAACATTATTGCCAAACTTAGATCAAATTCGGACTACCTCTCTCACAAATAGTCAAAACATTCAAAAAAAAAAAAAAAAAAAAACATACATAACTCATAAAGAGAAAGGGGATAATTCAATTTTGTGCTAACTTTGCAAATCCCAAAATTTTTTTCAGTGCCAGGTCCGGTGCGAAGATGGCATATATCGGCCACTCCTTTTGGCGCCTCCAAAGATGAGGAATATCGGTCAAAACTTTGAACCACGAAACTTTTAAAACTCGAAATAAGCATCCGATCAAAATATTTCTATCAACATCAAAATATTTTTTTTTTTTCGGCACAAGATATATTGTGAAGACGGTACGTATCGGTACCTCCCCTCTAAAAGATCAACATTTTGAACAATTATATTTCTCAAAAATACGAAATAAAAATTCCGATCGTCTTCAAATCTCGCACATCCCAATATATGGTGTGAAGATGCTAGATATTGGCATCTCTCCAAAACGGGTAAAAATCATAAATTACCATGAAATTGTAAAACGGTAAATAAGCTTCCGATTCCGTTTAAACTCGGCGCACAGTCAAATATATTTTGATCAAAGCAAGATCTTGTGTGTAAATAGAACATAGTGGACCACCCTGATTCTTCCCCCGGAACGGGTAAAAAATTTGAATATTTATATCTCTCATACGAAATTATTATCCGATTCAATCTTAACTTTACACATCCCAATATTTCTACCAACACAAAATCTGGTATGACGACGAAAGAGTCACAAAAGGTCAAAATTTTGAATACTCATGAAGATCATAATACGGGAAATAAGCATCAGATTAGTTTCAAACTAGGCATATCCTAATAATTATATCAACATGAATGCGAAATATATCGAACCACTCCTTCTGACACTGAAACGGTCAACATTTTAAATAAATATGTCCCTTATTAATTGCGAAAAAAGCATCCGATTCTGACAACTTTCAATATTTATATCTCGTATAACTTACGAAACAAGTCAACGATTCTTATTAAACTTGGTATATCTAAATATTCCTCTCGACTTGAGATCGGATGTGAATATAGAGTATGACAGTCCACTTCTTCTCGTATCACTTCTTCTCGTTAATATTTTGATTAACAATTATTCGTATAAAATTAATCAAGCGAAAAAGACTGATACTTGTTATTAATAGCTTTCTAAAATTCGTTCAGGGTAAAAGTTGCATTTATTCTGATATCCGGTTTAGTATTTATATAGATTGATTTTTATATCTGGCATAGGTCGAAAACGAACCTATATAACATAGGTGAAAACAGTGCCCGACTTTCTTCCACCTTCGCATGTAAACAGCATTTAATGGGTAATGAATACTAGTATACACTTTTTAACAAAGGATCTATGGGTTTGGATGTAAAGTTTGTGGAACATCGTCAATAATGTAAATCTGGTTTTAGATATTTTAACCTTTGTAAAAATTTCGCCTTAACAAGGCATAACCGAGGCTGGTTGAAGGAACGTAAAATTTTCAAGCACAACTTCCGATTATGGTTCCAATTTTTTTTTTTTTTTTTTTGAAATATTTATATTTTATATATATTTTTTTTTTTTGAAATAAATAATATATATTATAATTCCCGAAATGATTCTTAACTCACAATGGGAAACATTTAAAATTACAGTGCAAATAATATTTATACAAATTACCAGAGTTGTACCAACAACTACAACTTTGATTAAAATATTATTCGTAAGAAAGGAAATCCCCTTCCTTTAATTGCACTCAGCAACTACAGTGGAAACATATTTAAAACCTTTGTTTTATATTTTCTGAATCCTTGTATACATATGTACAACACGCTAAATATACTTTTTCTTTCCTTGAATGATTATTGTCTCCCTCACAAGCTCCACGCATTGAACCCCTACCCCCTCTCTCTCACTGTATTAAAATATGTGAATGAACAATAAAAAAAATAATAAAGAAAAAACAAAACTTTCGGACAATCAATCAAAATTCTTATTGAAGTACACCAACTCATTCACTTTTACATAACCCACTACATAAAGGCATTCTCTTTATACCGATACAAAAAATAACAACAACAAAACCTATATACAATATATACCCAATAAAATACATAAAAATAAAAAAAAAAAACAGCAATTATAAAAAAACAACAACAGACAATGCATGACTTTCCTGAATGCATTATCCTCCTCCAGCCCCCGTCATCCCTACCATTTCTCACTGTGTGTCACCCATTATTGTTAATATACTTTTAAGAGTATTTTTGATATATATTGAAATATTAATTATGGTTTTTTTTTGTAAATCAGGTTGTATTTTAAACGATTTAATGAAGTGTGTATAATGAAAATGATGGTTTAATAATGATTCAATTAAATAATAATTTTTTAATATAAAATTAAATTTAAATAAATTTTTAATAATGTAATTATGGAAATTGTGTCATAAGGGAAATGTGCACAGTGGTTTACAACACTCATGTAGGAAGTATATACGGGAACTATTTTAAATATTAATGTAATCAATTGAAAACATATGACCCAATTTAGCGAATTCAAACTTCAGAAGTGCCATGCTTATATATTCCATACGCCATTGTTGACTTTTTAAGTAATTTTCGGTGTGTCCTTGCGATTTGTGCCTGTTTTCCGATAGCTGCTCTTTTTTCGAGATACGACTTGAAAACTCTAGATTCATTGATTTTTGTTATTTGTGTTTTAAAATAATTTTTTTTAGTTCTTTAAAATGTTTTAAAAACATTTAACAAAATAAAAATGTTTATTCAGAAACTAAGGAATCATAAACCAAGTATGAAGTTGTTACATGTAATGCCAATGTTTGGCAATAGAGTCAGAAGTACGGACACAGAAGAAATCGAAAAAAATGACTGAACTTTTTATGCCTTCCAGCTTGAAAAGGAAGGTATATTAACTTTGTAACATAGCTAAATATTCGCCGTATGTCTCACAAAGTATAATTCACAAAGTACAATCAGTATACAATTCTAAGTCAGTTTAACGATTTTCGTCTGTCTGCTGAAATCGTGATTCGATGATGATTTTTTCGTACGACCTCCAATATAATTGTACCAGTCCGTATTCAATATTTTGGGAGTTGAAAAAAAAAAAACAAAACAAAGCTACGAATATTTTAAAACCCTCAGCTACAAAGCTAAAACTTACCTCATCTAAAAAGCGGAATATAGGGTTTCTTTGGACCAAACCCGTTTCAGAACTTTTGAAAGGGAATATCCGATTTCATCCAAACTTGATACATCATAAAATTGATATCAAACTTAAATTATGTTCGGAGATGGGCAATATAGATCCACTTCTTGGGCAATATCGGTCAACTCCTCTTTCCTCCCTCAACATTTTCATAGATAATAATTTTTGTAGAACAAGAAAAAACCCCAAAAAATAAAAATGCAAATGTGAAGATGTGAAAATTTACAGTTTCGGCCTACTAGTACCTCACCCAAAAAGGGTCGAATTTTTTAATATTTATAACTCTTAAAAAATGTGAAATAAGAGTTCAATTGTCTTCCATTTTCAAACATTTCTATATTTTTTTTCTAGATGGAAAATATCGGATCACTC